AATTAAAATAGAACTCCTGGGAAGACAGAGTGATCATTGAATTATCTGATTTGTGATTAAGTTTCTAAAACACAACTGAAAACTAACGAATAGAGTTCAAAAACGCGAAAACGAGGTAATGTTTACGACCACGCTTGGAAATCTGTCTGAGTGAGAAAAGTGTCTGAGCGGATGCGAAGAAGGGAACATTGTTACGTCTCTTTTTGCATCTTGCTGATTGGCCAATGTCACGAAGTAAACAAGGAAGTTGATGCTCGGGGAAAGGTTCATAGGAACAAGGTTGAATAGAATTCGATTTATGAAAAGGGTATTCATTCTATCAGGTACAGCTCATCTCACATCATTCGGGATATTTATTTTATTGTAGTGTAACACCCCTAACGATTTGGGATCTTTTTGCTGTATGATGTAATAATTGATGCGATACAACTCACACACTGACCGACCATCCCGACGTCTTCGACACCCTTTAAATTAAATACAAAAACAATTGAAGGATGTTCACACTGCGAACGTACGATCCGACTTTCTATTTGACAAAACGATCGGCAGTCAGAATGTTCAATTCCGTCGAAGCGACTGACCAATGACCACGGGTCGACAGTTTGTCGTTCTCTATTTGAAAGGTAAATTTGCTTTAAATGGAACCTTGCGTGCATCGTTTCCCTGTGTGGTACCAATATTGCCGTTTCAAACGTCATTTTTTTGAACAGTTTGGAGTTGGAAGAGGTATCCCATTTCCTCCAGTATTTCAGATTTTCTCCGGAAGAGTTTAAGGAGCTTCTCAAACTCATATGCCTAATGATTTCCAGCTCAGACAGAAACTGGCGGAATTCAATATCAGCTGAACAAAAGCTGAAAATAACATTGAGGCAAGATCATCATTGTATAGAAGGCTCAGCCATTTCAGTAATTAGATCGGCAGAATTTAATGAAATTGTGATTCTATCCAGGATATATTTCAGAAGCGTTATCAATTATAATTGTTTATTTTCAATATGCATTCCATAGTTTATTACTCAAAAAATATTTTTGGTATCTTTGTTCCACATACTTTTGACGCACGATGTCAAGGAAGTCGAGAACCGAAAGATGATTAGTTTTTAGCCACTATGGCTGTTGGCTGAGAATGGTGAGTGAAGGAATTTATATCTGTCTTTGCTTGCCCCTCTTTGTCGCGCTGTTGTAGAGAAAGGCAGAGATGAACATGCAAAGTTATAAGGTATACATTGAGTTATAGATTCAAAGTTTTTGCCACAAAAAGTATGTAAATATTGTACAACACACATTTTCAAAGGGTTTTCCCTATTTCGTATAACTGTAATTTTTCTTGGTTACTCATTATATTTACCAATTCAATGTTCCATGAAGCTTATCATTTATATTTTAAATTTAACGTTATAGAATTGGTGTTGAGAATTCATCTGTGTCAAAATCTTTCCCATCGAATGTTTCTACCTCTTCTTTGCAATCATACAGAGAGAGAGAGAGATTTATTATTTTGTCAACCAAAATCAATTACAGTCATCAATACGAAAAAAATACATAACCAAATATAATTGCTTTGGTATTGAGGGGAGGGAGCGATACGACCACGAGGTCATCGAAGTCACAGTGTTTCATTGCAATCACTGGATACATTACAGTTTGAATAGATAAAAAATGTTTTGCCAACAATTCAAAAAATATCTGCCAATGGTTTAGTGTACGCTAAAATTGTTTTGCGGACCGTTTGAAATATTTCCACGGGGAGCATGCGTGCCAGGGTTTAGACCACCCTGTATTATATCTCTATAAAAACAAGTAATGCATACCTAACAAAATACATCTCAATTGCTAACTGCTAACTTTTCAAAAACATCCTGTTTGCAAACAAGAATCTCGATTGTGTACACTAAATGTGTGCAGGTTTACTTTCTATCCGATTGGATTCAGTCCGGATATGACTGAACCCGTGGCGCAACCCAAGATTTGGAGGATCCCTGCCAGGGACAAGGGGTCGAATCTCTCGAGTCAGTGACTGCTGTGTTCCAATCTCGTAGCTTGATTTAATTTAAATAAAAATGAGTGGTTGGAGATCTTCAACAACGCGCCCAATAAAAAAGTCGTGTCCCGAACTAAATGATTTGTTTTTTGAACCAATTACCAGTGTATGATGATAGCGAGCTAAGTGCTTCAGCATATTGTCTGTGCCTTAACGTGCTGTCCCAATGAAATTCAACTTAGAATCGTTGTAGTTTGTTCAAAACAGGCAACACGATGGTACTTGTAATAGAATCAGGAACATGGCATCTGCTGAACAAAAGTAAACTTAAAATAAATATTTCATACTGCAAAGTAATCCAATTTTGCAGTATATATTATAATATCACAACTCTCTATAATTCAAATCAATCAGCACCATATAGATTGAAAACATACAAAATTCAACAGTATATACATACCTGGTGTTTTGACTCTCCATCTAACACAATCAAACGAAAAATACTCTAAAGTAACTCAATCCAAGTTTAATGACTAAATTATTAAATCAGCAATTACTGTATTATTTGACTGTAACACTGCCTTAAATGATATTTGAATTACACTTGAGAACCTCAATTTTTACATCATGTTGTAAGTTAACAAATTGTTATTTTCAACAGATAACAAACGAGAACTACCGACAATACTGAATCTGTAGACACTGATTCACGCCGAATACTAAGCTAGACTGAGACAAGTCATTCATCTATTGTGCTTCCAATTTAGTAATTATCGTAATTAACTCCCGACATTGTATAGTGCGTCAAATTCATTGCGCCTTCGTTGTTTACGCAAAAAACAAGCTATGATGAATTAAAAATGTATGCTAGTAGTGATCTCAGAATAGCGGTTACATAATTTTAATTAGGTACTGTTTGTATAGAGATCATCGTAGGTTAGATCGTATATAACGGATGCTTCATTGAGTATGAACAAACGTGAATAATGGCCCCGGTTTTACATGTAGAGAAATCGATTTTAAATACGATTCCATAAAATCCGTGGATTCGACACGCATCCAAATTTAGATTCGAATCTCGCTCCGTTCCAATTACTAAGACAAGTAATAATTTTATAACATCTGCATATATGCCAGATGTATATAGTATATATATGAATTCCGTTAGTTTTCTTAATATTTCTAATATATTTTATACTTTATTCAATGCAGTGCTTAAGTATTCATTTTGAAAGTTGTGTTCCCTTTTTGTTCAATGTCTTCTACGGTCACCGAATCAACAATTGCAGCCTATAAATTTTGGATTTTAATATGCACAAACATGACATTCTCAGTGTTTCATCGGGTATTGATGACAAATTATAGTATTATCTCTGTCAAGATTTTCCAGAATATGTCTGAGAAATGTGTACAGTAATTCCTGTCTATTGAATTTCAAAATGCTTACTTTCAAACTACTTCACGATGTACTACAAGAATTTTGTACGCTCTACGTCTTGAAAGCCAGTCAAAAACCAAAATTTTCATCTTTTCAAATATGATTTACCAACTCCGGTCAATTGGTGACAATAATAATATAATCTTAATTGTCCGCCTTCAATTGCTGGGACATATATATTGTGTTATTTTCATTCTAGTTAACATTCGAGACACGCAAAAGATCCCTCATTTAACCTTATTTCTTGACACGTGTGGAATTGAAGAAATAACTTCAAATTTCTTCAAGCAGAAGGTTAAGAGCAACAAAATATGCAGATAATAAAAGATGTAAGTTCAGCTATCCGTGGCTTGCCGAATACTGGGTATAAGATCTCCAATTCTCCCTTTCGTATTAGCCCATTTTTCAGAAATTTAGCAATTGTAATGGTTGTGCGTACTATCTATCTATCTGCTTCTATATAGTTGCTTCCCAGCGGTGTCTGCTAAACAGCAGTTTGTAGAGTCCTCATATACGCATACACAAATGTATTTCTGTAATCTTTGTCTGGTCAAAGTCAGATATCCTCAGACAAGCAGTTTACAACAATCAATTTTTTTATTGTTGACAGTGAAGCGAATCAAGCTATGATTTTAATCGGGTTGATAATCCCAGGGCGCATTTCCAGCTTGAGCGTGGAATGGGTCGACAACATGAACCAATAGGAATTGAAACTCCTCTTGGTTGGATTTGATCGGAGATTTGGGAACAAGTATTGACAATAAGGCAATTTCAAATTTGATGCATTGTGGTTTACGTGACCATTATTTCATGTAACAAGAACAAATCGGGGTAAGTTGATCCAGCAATTTTGTAGGCACGGCGTACAGTTTGTCCCGTAGCAGGTCGAGAACCAACCCGAACTAAACTAAAACTTATACCCACGCGGACTGGCAACAAAGCCACCTTCATGACTATCCACAGGAAGTCATCCATCAATGAGGCAGGATCCTGATGCTGGTCGAGTAGGGTCAAAAACTAGTGCCAGAATTTTTTCTTCCCAGGTTCGGTTCTTTTTCCGCCAACTCAACATCGAGTCATCAAAGTTTGTCGTTTACTCTTTTGTCGTCTTTTCCAAAACTAATTGCAAATAGCTGCGGTTTGCTTCGCTCAGTCAATCGCAAAAAATCTGGTCCAACTAATCAGTGGGATTATGCGCGGAATCAGCGTTCAGTGGAACGACTCTGGCAATGCTTCTTGGAATGCTTCGATATCATTTGACAGAGCTTCCACAGTTCAAGCCCAAGTCACTTTTCGCAGTAAGTCTCTCGATATCTAAATCAATACTTATGGCGACACGATAAACGTATATCTCATGTGAAACCGATTTAGTATTTAAAACCCATTCAGTCAGCTTTAACCCATTATCGTGTAATATTTCAATCACGTTCTTAGATGCTGATACCACTGAATCGACTTTCTATTTCGAAGTAAGTAAATCAACCCAAAAGTCTCTATCGATAATAATATTGCGCTAATAGGAAATTTATTTCCGCTATCGTACGTAACTCCAGTCAAACCTTTATACGCACATGGCTGTTTCCTAAAAAAAAACTCTATTTGACCAGTTACAAAGTGGAGAATTAATATCATCATTAATTAATAATAAAATTGATTTGGATATGGAGGTTGCAAATTCATTCCTATAATTTTCCTCGGCGTCTCGTCGACAATGATCGCACAGTAGTTTTCGAATTTGTCAAACAGAACGCGCATTTCTGAAATAAATTGAAAAAAATTGAACATCGATATCCACCAGATCGAAAGACTTCATACACACGTGATTAAAAGAACAGACATTTGTATGTAGATGGCCGAAACAATCACGTCATAATCATGAAACATACTTTAGCCTATATAAAATACGGTACTAAAATTTAAATATTCAAAACATTTAAAAATGTTTGCTCAAGGACTCGATTAAGGACGGGCTAAACAGGGCCCACGGGGCGTGGGTTTGGCAGCCATAAACTTATATATATTTTTTTCATTCTTCTTCGTTTTCTCTCAGATATGAATTTTATATGTGGTCATAATTTCGTCATTTTTAGCGTCTTTATCCACATTTAACTGCTAGGACATAGGTTTTGTATATGGCGTCATAATGATTCGAACAAAACACATAAATTGTGTTCTTTTATTTAGATAACAAGCGATTCAGGACAAGAACGCTTATTTACAAACATTCCTTCAAGAATGTGGAGTATGAGGAATTGACTCAAAACTCAAATACCTTTAGAGAGGAGAAAACCAGAAATCAAAAGGTTAATGGAAGATGTGAGTTTAGCTTTCTGTTTAGATGATTTTGTAACCTTTGGAGGGTGATGACGGAAGCTTTTGATCCTTCTCTAGAAACATTAATAATGTTTCATTTCATTTTGATTACTTGAACACTTGAATACATGCTCATTCATTAGGATATTCTTCAATATCCTAGAAATGTCTCAGACTATTTAAAAAATTGAAGTTTAATATTAGTGGTTAGAAATCTTCGACAACGAGCCCCAATAAACAATTCCTGTCCCGAACTAAACGATTTGTTTCTGAACCAATTGCCAGTGTTTTATATTAGAGAGCAAAGTGTTTCAGCACATTTTCTGTGCCTTAAAATGCTTTCCCGATGAAATTCAACTTAGAATCGGTGTAGTTTGTTCAAAACAGTCAAGACGATGAAGCTTGGAATAGAATCAGAAACATGGCATCTGCTGAAAACAATGAACATTAACTTAATATTTCATACAGCAAGACAATCCAATTTTGCAGTATTATGTTATCACAACTCTTTATATTTCAAATCAATCACCACGATATAGTTTAAAATTTAACAGTATACATACCTAATGTTTTGACTCTCCAAGAAACAAAATCAAACGAAATATGCTCTAGTCTAAAGTAACTAAAATCCAAGTTTTATGACTAAAATATTAAAGCAGCATTTAATTTGCTAATTTGACTGTAATACTGCTTTAAATTTTATTTGTATTATACCTGAGAACCTCAATTCTTACAAGAATTGTAAATTTACAAATTGTTATTCCCATCAGATACATAACGAGTACTACCACCAATACTGATCCTGTAAACACTGATTCACACCGAATACTGAGCTAGACTGACACAAGGCATCCAACCATTGCGCTTCCAATTTACCAATTATCCTAATTAATCGAGAAACTCACAACATATCATAGTCACGTCAGACGCGCCTCCGATGATTACGTAAAAACGGCAAAATTTGCCCTGGTCAACATTCCGATGGAACAGTAACTGATGATTTAAGAATGTATGTTAGTAGGGGTCTCAGGATAGCGGTTACATGATTATGATTAGGTACTGGTTGCGTCGAACATTATAGGGATAGATCAGGGTGGTCCAAGCCGCGGCTCGAGCACATATTCCGTGCGCCCGCAGATCAATTTCAGCGTTTACTACTAAACCATTGGTAGATATATGTATTTATTGGCAGAATATTTTTGAGTTATTTTTGAACTATTCCAACTAGGATTGGCCTTTTTCTAATCCCGTTGTTGGGATTGATGTTTGTTAAAATCACGAAATTTCAATGTTGTATCCATAAACGTCAATACTGTGCCAATATGGAAATGACTCAAAGTCCTTGTTTGTCACAATAAAGAGAGGGGCGATGTAAAATCAATAAGCGAGACTAATATAACAGTGCTAAGTTAAAGGGCTTAGGCCAATCAAACATTTCGTACATACCGGCCCCGGAAATTATATGTTGTTTGGTATGTAATTAAATGTTATATGTTGAGATGTTTTATGGATGACATATAGAAAATGATTTAAATAAAAAAAAATGTTTCCTCAATTTCCAAAAACAATTGAAAGAATAAATACTGTAACAAAATTAATGAAGATAACACAATGGCCAATGCAAGAAAATCAAAAAAGAATAGAACCAAAAACTTGCCCGCCCTCAAAGATAATTCGAATTATACACCTGATATTTCCATAGTGAAAATGTATGTTATGTAAGTGTAACTGTGTATGTGTGATGTGGATGCTTTATATTTAGTGTGTAGTTTGTGCGTAAATGTACTCAAGAAGCTTTAAGTAGACAAAGCTTCATTATGTCACGCACATAGGTAGAATTGAATATGCGCACTTTTCTTTTCTGACAACTTTTTGATCATCAGGGTCGCAAGATCTCCAACTTGAAAGTTGTGTTGAACATTGAGTCACTTCTGCACTGTAATTGGGGAAGATATTCTTTTGTCAAGCGCTGCCAAAATAAATTAATTAATCGCTGAACATGTCTGTATCCTCTTCTGTGTTCATCTGTTCGAAAGAACGAATCAGTTGGCAAAGACGGTTCTAATCCATTCATCAAAATTGAGTTCAGAGACTGGCCATTCAATAGAGCTCGACGAATTATTTCCCCCTCTCGTACCATTCTTTCATCACCCCATTTTGATGACTAGAAAGAGGAGGTGAAAAGTGCCATTGTATACCCCTTTGGGATAGAGATGTGTCGATCTTTTGGGAATTCCACTTTGTAATAATTTCATAATGAATACACATATATATATAGATATATCACAAAGTTGGTTTGGTAATAAATGTATTAAGCGCTTTTCATAGCATGTATCAGGAAAATTGCCAATCATATCTCCTCGTTCCTTTTTTTTTATAACTTGAAAATGATACGTGTACAGAAATTCAGCAAACGCGAGTACACTTTTTCTCCTTCATTGGTTTGGCTTTCATGCTCTTAGTTGTCCGCATTCGATGATCTTCAAATCTCCCTTTCGTATTAACACATTCTTCAAAAATTTAGCAAATGAAAAACTCAACATTTTTCTATCTGCTTCCACCCAGTTGCCTCTCAGCGGTGTCGAGCGTTATGTTGCATTATTCAATTACCGGTATAAGTTGTATGTTCCTGAAGTTGTTGGCCACAGTTATAAATATACCACTGCCTACTTCGAGTTTACAGTTATCACATTTTTGAGCGAATCGGTTCTATTACAATATTTCAAGGATTTGATTTATTTATTTCTGCATGCTGACAAAAGTACCAATAGCACAGCAACTAAACGCCAGTTCTTTTTTAATGAGCAATTGAGAGTCCTGCTGCACGCTTACACAAATTTATTTCTGTAACCTTTTGTCTGACCAAAGTCAGACATCAGCAGACAAGCTGATTACAACAATCAACTTTTTAATTGTTCAGGGCTAGGGTTTTCTTTGTTTTATTTCATTTTCATTTAGTTTTATGACGTCATAATCAATCTTACAAAGCATTTAAATTTTGTTCTTTTAATTCAGATACCAAGTGATACAGGCAACGTCCGCACATTTACCCACATTACTTGAGAATTGTGGAGTATCAAATATCAACTTCAACCTTCAGAGAGGAGGAGATGTTCGGAAATCAAAAGATTAACAGATGATGTAAGATTAGCTTTCTGTTTAGATTGTTTTATAACTTTCGTAACAGTATTTCATTTCATTTAGAATAACTGAATTTTTGAATACATGCCTAAATATTTGTTCATGGAACAGCTATCGCTATGCTTTGTTTATTCTATGCTATATTGCTTCCATGGTTAACTTGCCTGATGAGAGTTGCTCGGAGTATCTAAGTTGACCAGTCTCAGGTTATAGCAGTGTTCCTTAACATATGGGTTCTCGGTGAGGCTGTTTAATGGATTCCACGAAGGTGCTGGTTTAAAACATTAGTATGTCATGGAATATTTGTGTTACCATGTTATGTAAACATACCTACAGTTCACTGAAGATATTGAAATTTATAAAATAGCTTAATAAAATTTGTTGTTATTCAACAGTAATGCAACGACGTCATACTATATCAATTGAAGACGATTGCGTTTTTTCGAGCATTCTACAAAATTAACTTTAACCGTTCAATTCAAGAAGCAGATGATCCGTGGATTATTCATTTGGAATCAAACTAGTCTAGTAAATTTGCTTATTTTTTGATAATGTACACAGTTGTCTTGACGACGACGGTTCACGTATGGTTCGTTTATTTGGCGGGGGTAGCAAAACGACATGTCGACGGCTTAGGTAGCCTACGATGGGAAGTAATTATGTAGTTGCGATGAGGAAATTGAAACATAAGTTCGGCCAACCAGTGACGATCGCTTGGGCCTGTTTCGAAAAGGTCGTAGATGGCAAAGACTCGGGAATTCAATAGCCGCAAACTCTCCGATTTAAGTCATACGTTCAAGCATCCACAAAAACGTAGTTGCTTCTGCAATGATTTATATCTTTACGTTTTTATGGCCAATGGCGTAAAATAAATATCTTCACTAGAATCAAGCTTATGTTTCAATTGTCTCGAACTTAGACAGTTTGACTTTTAGAGTGTAGATTTCCTAACATGTGTCGCGCTTGTTCGGGTAAGCATCATTCAGTGATCCATGGCCTGAGGATCTTTACAAGAAGATCAAATGCTAACAATCATCGCAATGTCTCTACTCGTACAAACAGCGTTGCCAATGCAAATGTTTCAGACGTGGTGTCCAGTTTCAGCTTTTGCCAGTTGTAGTAAAGGATCCATTGGGCTTTTCTGAATAAGTTATCGCTGTGGTAGACTCTGCTAGTCAAATCTCAATTATATATACATCATGGATCGAAACGAAAACCTTGGTCTAATAAATAATAAACCAAACCCGTGTTAGCACTGACACTTTATGAAACAAAGGCGTTTCGCCAAGATACAGAAGTAGAATATTATCGGTGAAATCTGGTTACGACGAATATTGGCGTTGAACAACGTGTTTGTGATCGAGTCACGCATAACCACATTCAGCTAGAATGCTTAAAAAGATCAATACATGCATTACTTACACGATATCCGTTGGCCAATATTGAAGCGAATCAAAGCTGTGATTTAATCGCGTCGGATAATTCCATAGCGCACTTCAGCATTTGCGTGGAGTGGTCGACAACATAAACCAATAGGAATTGAAACTCGTCTTGGTTGGACTTGGTCGAAAATTGCGTACAAGTTTTGACAATAAGAAATTTTAATTTGCATTGTGGTTTACGCGACCATTTAACCATGCTACAAGAACAAATCGGGAAAAGCTGGTCCAGTGAAATCTGTAGGCACGGCGTACGATTTGTCGCTCAGTGAGTCGTCTAAAGATGGACGAGAATATATTTTCACGAACAGTAAAATTAAATTATTTACCGTCCTGATGAATTTGATTTTATGGGGAGGAATGAGAATCACGAAAACTTAAAACGAACACGCAGCTCGTATAAAAAGTCTTACGAAACAGCCTAAAAAAACAAAACGATTTTATAAAAAATCGCATCGTAGTGATTTTTTGGAAAGACCGACAGCTATAAACGTCAATATGATAGTCTTGCTTCATATACTCGATTTTTCGAAAATGATATTTAATTCTGCAATTTTTAACTGTTAAAAAATTGTTTTTTGTTGAAAACAGCCATGTGCGTATAAATTATTGTTCCGTTCTTTCGGAGATGTTGATTCATCATATGTGGCGAATTTTGTTGCATAACGGGAGTTACGTACGACAAGCGGAAATAAATTTCCTAGTAGCGCAATATCGATATGGACTTTTAAGTTGATTTACTTACTTTGAATGGGTTTCGAATTCTAAATCAGATTCCACGTGAGATATACGTTCATCGTGTCGCCACAAGTATTGATTTAGATATCGAGAGACTTACTGCGAAAAGTGCTTGAGCTTGAACTGTGGGAGGGGAAAGGGATTGCTTCATACTTGAACACCAGGGGTTCACAGGTTTTGTTACAAATAGAAAAGCCCTACTGTTGTAAGTTCAATATCTGATGCTTGATATGACGAATTCAACAATAAGAGACTGAAGTCTTGATCAAAGTGGAGTAATTCTATAATTTTTCGAAATATTTCAATTCCTCGTCAATTCAAAGATGTTGAATGTAAATATTCCCTGTACAAATTTGGAATATTCTGTCAAATATAATTGAAGCATTCCAAGAAAATTGCCAGAATCGTTCTACTTAAAGCTGATTCCGCGCAAAATCCAACTGATTACTGCACTAGATGAATGGATATTCCTAAGTTTTTATAGAATTCTGACAGATGGCTAGTTGGACCAGATTTTTTGCGATTGACTGAGCGAAGCAAACCGAAGCTATTTGCAATTAGTTTTGGAAAAGAGGACAAAAGAATACAGACACAAACTTTGATGACTCGATGTTGAGTTGCGGAAAAAGAACCGAACCTTGGAAGGAAAAATTCTGACACTAGTTTTGGACCCTACTCGACCCGCGTCAGGATTCTGCCTCATTGATGGATGACTTCCTGTGAATATTCATGGGGGTGGCTTTGTCGGCAGTCCGCGTGGTTATAAGTTTCAGTTTAGTTCGAGTTGGGGAAAATATTCGAATATCCTATCGAATATTAGAATAACAGTTTACTGTTCTAATATCTGTTAACACAACACGTGGCCTGGACACGGCACGTCGTTTGTACGTCGCCGAATTAAACGCTTGGACAGCACATCGTATGAGACACGAGAATCAGCATACACTTCTGGCTAACGGACAATGGCGTCAGAATTGAGTGTTATATTTGCGGTATAATATTTTTATTTATTTCCAGTGGATATGATATTATTTCAATTCCTCGATGAGCATAATGTCGCCCTAATGTTGCATGATTTTTAATTATTCAGTTGGTCGTTTTGTAAAATTGGAAACATTAATACAAGTTCTTAATGAAGTAACATTGAGTCAATCTTATCAGAAATTTTCACCGATCCGCAGTGACGACATTTCATGAGTTATATTTAATGCAAAAACATGGATGTGACAGGAAAATACAACGAATCCCGAGGCCAGTAGCAAAGATATTGTTTACTTTTTCATTTTAAAGTGACGATAAGGAAGATCAAAGCCGACGCGAAATATAATAATCAAAATAAAGTTAATTTGGAGACAGGGATTTCAAATTAATTTCTATAATTTCCCTGGCGTCTCGTCGACAATAATCGCACAGTAGTTTTCGAATTTGTCAAACAGAACGCGCAGTTCCGCAATAAATTAAAACAAATTAAACATCGATATCTACCAGATCGCAAGACTTGATACACGCGTGATTAAAAGAACCGACATTTTTATGTGGATGGCCGAAACAATCACGCCATAATCACGAAACATACTTCAGCCTATCTAAAATATGGTACTAAAATTTAAACATTATCTGTTTTGTTATGCTACTTCGTTTTCTTCTAGATATATATTCTATATGCGGGTATAATTTTGCCGTTTTGGCGTCTTTATCCACCTTTAACTGCTAAGACAGAGGTTTTGTATGATGTCATAATGAATATAACAAAACATATGAATTGTGGACCTTTATTCAGAAAACAAGCGATTCAGGCCAAGAACGCTCATTTACAAACATTCCTGAAAATGTGGAGCATAAGAAATTGACTTAAAACTCAAATACCTTTAGAGAGAAGAAAACCAGAAATCAAAAGGTTAGTGGGAGATGTGAGTTTAGCTTTCTGTGTAGATGGTTTTGTAAATTTCGGAAGGGTGATAATTGAAGCAATAGGTATTTTTCATTTCATTTTGAATACTTGAACACATGCTCATTCTCCTGGCTTTGACGTTAGGATATTCTTAAAATGCAATATATTTTTCAAATGTTCTCGGCTTTTCAAAAGAAAAGAAAAGTTTACATTCGTAGCTAAATATTAGTGGTTGAAGATCTTCGACAACGCACCCCCAATAAACAAGTCTTGTCACGAACAAAACGATTTGTTTCTGAACCAGTTACTAGTGTTTGATATTAGAGAGCAAGGGGTTCCAGCATATTATCTGTGCCGTAAAGTGCTATGTCCCAATGAAATTCAACTAAAAATCTGTGTAGTTTGTTCAAAACAGTCAACACGATGGAACTGGGAATGAAATCAGGATCATGGCATCTGCCGAAAACAATGAACATAAACTAAATATTTTATACGGCAAGACAACCCAATTTTTTTCTGTATTATAATATCACAACTTTCAGCATTTGAAATCAATCAGAACGATATAGATTAAAAACATACAAAATTCAACAGTATATACATACCTAATGTTTTGACTCTACAAGTAACACAATCAAACGAAATATGCCTTGGAGTAAATAAAATCCAAGTTTTATGAATAAAATATTAAAGCAGTAGTTACTGCGCTAAGTTGACTGTAATACTGCCCTACATTATATTTGTATTAGACTTGAGAACATCAATTCTTACAAGAATTTGTAAACTCACAAATTGTCATTTCCAACAGATACATAGCGAGTACTACCAACAATACAGAACCTGTAAACACTGATTCACACTGAATACTGCGCTAGACTGAGACAAGACATCCAACCATTGCGCTTCTAATTTACCAATTATCATAATTAATCAACAAACTCACAACATACCATTGTGTAATGCGTCAGACGCGTCTTCGTAGTGTACGTAAAAACGTCAAATTTGCCCTGGCCAACTTTCGGGTGGAACAGTAATAACCTTTGATGATTTAGGAATGTATGTTAGTATGAATTTCAAGATAGCGGTTAACTGATTATGATTAGGCATTGCTTTTACCGAGCTTTATAGGGTAGATCAGGGTGGTTCACACCGCGGCCCGAGAACACATTCCTTGCGCCCCGCAGAACAATTTTAGCGTGTACTAAACCATTGGTAGATATGTGTATTTATTGGCAGAATATTTTTGAGTTATTTTTAAACTATTCCAACTGGGATTGGCCTTTTTCCTAATCCCGATGTCGAGATTGATGTTTGGTAAAATCGCGGAATTTCAATGTTGTATCTATAAACGTCAAGACTATGCCAGGATGGAAATGATCGATATAAGGACAATGAATTGTCTTGTGCAGACATGACCAAGCCGATGAGATGAATCGCGCTTTCATCTAAACTTCGTACATTAATCTCGCCTTGAGTAACTTCTCAATTTGAGAGACGTTTTGAGCATTTATTTTAGTAAAAACACTTCTCTATTTTCAAGCGTTGGCCATGTGACAGCAATGACGAAACGCAGACCAGACTTAGTGGTTGTTCTGTTTTTCGTTGACGTTACCACCAGACCTTGTCACGCTAAAAGTAATAAAATTAGTCAAATAAATGAATTCATCATACAATAAGTGTAGAAAAAGTTACCAAGAAAGTAGAAACGTATTTCCTTCTCCACAACAACGTTCAATGACAGTGTTTGGTGTGTTTCCAAGTAATATCTACCACGGACGAATATAATTTTAAGCGACATTAAAAAATCAAACATGGGGAAAGATGCCAAAAATTCGACGATACTTCTCAAGAAGCAAATGGGTAAACTCGCGATGTTTTATCACTTTTGGGTTTTCTTCTACTGTGGCCCGCGAGACATCGTCAAAAGTTTTTGCGTCCCACCAACCTCGCAACCTTGGACCACCCTAGGGTAGATCTTATATTACGGATGCTGCAATTAGTAGGAACGTAAATGAATAATGCCTCGGTGAAAGATGTAGAGAAATCGATTTTCAATACGATTCCAGAAAATCTGTGGATTCGACACGCATGTAAATTTAGATTCGAATCTCGCTCCATCCCATTCACTAAGACAAGTGATAACTTCTTCATATATATAAATCACAGCGTTGGTTTGGGATCAAATGTTATTACTTTGGGCCACATACCATGTATTTAGAAGATTGTCAATCATATCTACCCGTTCCTTATTTTTTATAATGTAAAAAATTCTAATTGTACAGGCATTCAGTGAATGCGAGTATCGGCTTTTCTAATCTTATTTCTCCGCATTCAATTGCTAGGACATCGGTGCCGTATGCGATGCAATCACGAGAAAAACAAAGCATATATATTGTGTTATTTTTATCCTAGGGTAACATTCGAGGCACGCGAACGACCACACATTCTCTTTTTTTGACACGTGTGGATACCAAGAGATAACCACAAAATACGCCTAAGAGAATGATAACAGCAGCAAAATATGTGGATAATACAATATGTAAGTTTAGCTTTTTTGACTTGTCAAATACTGGCACTATGATCTTCAAACCTCATTTTTATACCAGCCCATTCATCAGAAACTTACAAGTGTAAAGGTTGTGCATGTGGGATAAGTAGTGTAAACTAAGGTTTCCGACTACGACTCCGGGTTACAAGGTAACTAAAGTCCTGTCCATTAGTATTTAATTTATTGTCTCCAATATATGCACATCAAACACATCTGATGTTGACGTCGGTGTTAACAGTCTCAGTACTTCAGTATTGGTTTTAATGATAAATTGACTTTTTTTGACAAGGACTCAAAGAACAGCCGCGAGTATGCTATCTCTACGCAATGATACAAAATAAGACAATGATAAATTTAACATTGCATAAATTACAGCAATCCTCAAAACCTATTCGGATAATATATGAATAAACCTAACAATATTCTAATTATAAAATTCTCTCTTTATATTCATTTTGCAAAGTATGGCATAAGTCAAACACGGAATAGGAAAACCCATCATTAATAAAATATACAATTGCACAGCAAACTCTTTGATCAGCATTGTGCAACGAGCATCTACCTCGTGGCAACTAAATTTATTGAAGGCCGTAAAGCGTGGGGGTGGGGTGATAAGTCACTTATTACATCACAGTAAAGAGAAGGACGAATATAAAGCGAGACTAATTTGACAGTGCCTAAATGAAGGGGCTTAAGGTTCCATAAAAGGGGCAATCAAACATTTCGTACATACCAGCCCCGTAAATTATATGAAATGTTTTATGGATAACATAGAAAATGATGTTAAAAAAAACAAGAAATGTTTGCTCAACTTCCAAAAACAATTGAAGGAATAAATACAGAAACAAAACCTATGAAGATGACCAAATTGTCAATGCAAAAAAATCAAAAAAAGGATAGAACCAAAAACCAGCATCCATCCCCTCAGAGATAATTCGAATTATACACCTAATATTTCTATAGTGAGAATGTATGTTAAGTATGTGTAACTGTGTGTGTGTGGTGTGGATGCTATATATATAGTGTGTAGTTTGTGCGTAAATGTACTAAAAGAGTTTCAAGTAGACAAAGCTTCATTATGTCACGCACATAATTATAATTGGATATGAGCACTTTCACTTTTCTGACAACTTCTTGATCATCAGGGTCACTGCCAAAATAAATCAAGTAATCGCTGAACACGTCTGTATCATCTTCTGTATTCATCTGTTCGAAAGAATAAATCAGGTGACAAAGACTGTTCTAATACATTTATCAAAATTGAGTTGGGAGAGAAGGCATTCGGATCATGACTCAGTGGTGTGAGTGAGAATTCGCTCCACTTCTGTGAGAAGAGACCATAAAAAGTATTAATTGAGAGACTGGCCATTCAATAGAGGTCGAAGAGTTCTTCTCATCTCGCGAACCATTTTTTCCACCACTCCATCTGGTGACTAGAAAGAGGAGGTGAAAAGAGCCATTGTATACCCTCTTGGGGTAGAGATGTGTCGATCTGTTGGGAATTCTAATTGGTAATAATTTCATAACTTCTGCATATATATATATTTATATAACGAAGTTGGTTTGGTATTAAATGTAATTACTTTAAGACTCATGGCATGTATTAGGAAAATTGCCAACATATCTCCTTGTTCCTTATTTTATTATAGATTTAAAATTCTACCTGTAAAGGCATTCATCAAACGCGAGTACACTTTTCCTCCCTGATTGGTTTGGCTTTCATAATCTTAGTTGTCCGCATTCAATGATCTTCAAATCTCTCTTTCGCATTGACCCATCCTTCAGAAAGTTAGCAAATGTAATAGTTGTGCATACTCTACCTACATTTTTCTATATGCTTCTACCTATTGCTTCTGAGCGTTGTCGATTTTAAAACGGGAAAAGTCACAACCGTTGGTTACAGAGAACTCAATGAGTAGACCGGCGTTATGTTACTTCATTCAAATGTAAGGTGTATGTTCTTGAAGTTGTGGGCAACAGTTTTAAATATATATACCACTGCCTACTTCGAGTTAACAGCTATCATCAGTTTTGTGCGAATCGGTTCTTTTACAATATTTCAAGGACGTAAATTATTTATACCTGCATGTTGCAAATCCATGATTGTGAAAAGTGACAATGGCACAGCAACGAAACGCCAGTTCTTTATTAATGAGCAATTCGAGAGTCCTGCTGCACGCTTACACAAATGTATTTCTGTAACTTTTTGTCTGACCAATGTCAAACAACCGCAAACAAGTTTACAACAATCAACTTTTTTAAAGTTCTGGTCTAGGCTTTCATTAGTTTTTAATTAACCTTCATTCAGTTTTATGACGTCATAATCAATTTTACAAAGCATTTGATTTTTGATCTTTCAATTTAGATAACAGGCGATACAGGCAACGTCCGCACATTTACCCACATTACTTGAAAATTGTGGAGTATCAAAAATCAACTTATACTTGCCAAGAAATCAAAAGGTTAACTGATGATGTAAGTTTAGCTTTCTGTTTAGATTGTTTTGTAACTTTTGTAACAGTATTCCATTTTATTTAGAATAACTGAATATTTGAATACATGCTTAAAATGTCTGTTTATGGAACAGCTATCGCTGTGCTTTGTATATTCTATGCTATATTGCTTCCATGGTTGACTTGCCTGATGAGAGTAGCTCAGAGTATCTAAGTTAACAAGTCTGAGTTTATAGCAGTGTTTCTTAACACGAGTTCTCGGTGGTGCTGTTTAATGGGTTCGACGAAGGTGCTGGTCTGAAACATTAGTATGTCATTAATTTTTTGTGTTATCATGTTATGTGAACATAACTACAGCTCACAGCGGATATTGAAATTTATAAAATAACTCAACTATTTTTTGTTACTCAACAGTAATGCAACGACGTCATACTATATCAATTGAAGATGGTTGCATCCTTTCGAGAATTCTACAAAATTAACTGTAACCGTTCAATCCAAGAAGCAGTTGACGCGTGGTTTGTTCACTTGGAACCAAACTAGTCTGGTAAATTTGCCTTTTTTTTGATAATGTACTCAGTTGTCTTGAAGAAGACGGTTCACGTATGGTTCGCTTATTCGCGTCTTTTGCGGGGGTAGCAAAGCTACATGTGGACGGCTTAGGTACGATGGGAAGTAATTATGTAGTTGCGATGAGGAAATTGAAACAAAAGTTCGGCCATCCAGTGACGATCGGTTGGACCTGTTTCGAAAAGATCGTAGATGGCAAAGACTCAGGAATTCAATAGCCGCAAAACATCCGATTTTAATTGAGTCATACGTTCAAGCATCCACAAAAACGTAGTTTCTTCTGCAACGTAAAAAGAAGATTTCTACTACAATCAAGCTTGTGTTTCAATTGTCTCGAACTTGGACAGTTTGCCTTTTGGTGTAGATTTCATACCATGTGTCGCGCTTGTTCGGGCAAGCAGCATTCAGTGATCCATGGCCTGAGGATCTTTACAAGGAGATCAAATGCTAACAATCATCGCAATGTCTTTACGAATACAAACAGCGTTGCCAATGCAAATGTTTCAGGCGTGGTAGCCAGTTTCAGCTTTTGCCAGTTGTAGTAAAAGATCCATTGGGCTTTTCTGAATAAGTTATCGCTGTGCTAGATTCTGCTAGTCAAATCTCAAATATATATACATCATGAATCGAAACGAAGACTTGGCCTAATAAAAATAAATCGTACCGTGTTAGCATTGACTCTTTATGTAACAGAGGCGTTTACAAGATACAGAAGTAGTAAAATTGTCGGTGAAATCTGGTTACGACGAATATTGGCGTTAAACAACGTGTTTGCGATCAGGTTACGCATACCACATTCAGCTAGAATAAAGAGATCAATATTTACCTCACTTGCAGGGTATTTCTTTGGCCGATATTGAAGCAAATCAAGCTAGGATTGTAATTGCGACAGATAATCTCATAGCACACATACAGCTTTTGCGTGGATTGGGCCGACAACATGAACCAATGGGAATTGAAACTTCTCTTGGTTGGATTTGATCGGAAATATGCGTACAAGTTTTAACAATAAAATAATTTCAAACTTGATGCATTGTGATTTACGTGAACATTATACCATGTTACAAACAAATCAGGGGAAGTTGGTCTAGCGAATCTGTATGCACGGCGTACATTCATCGGTGACCGTACATTTGAACCTATGCGTATATCCACGGGTTCAATCTATATGCGGGTGCTAAAACCCATGGGTTAGGGTTAGTATGGGTTTAACTATCCGATAAGTCTTCGGTCTCTGACCGATATTCTTGTTACTTATCGATCTTAAGATCGGTAACACTTCTCTGTCTGCGATGCTGAGCGTTTGGTTAGGTATTTTGGTTACACGCCGCTTCGTCATCAATGATCTGGAAGCGTTGTATAAAGCTAATTCGGAGACAATCGGAATCATCCGTCGTATACTATCTTTGCGTTTGACACAAACTATAGGATAATCGACGTTCGCCATTACCGGTGGCAAATAGGCTATTGGCTGAAACCAAATCTAATTCTTCACTAAAATATCGCTAGGCTGTGGTTGAATAGCCGTCGCAATTGCGGTTAGCGCCGTTTTATTTGACACAAAATATAGGATAGTTGGCGTTAGCCATTTTCGGTGGTAAATTGGCTGTAAACTGATCAAAACGATCCAGTTCGGCTTTGCAAAATTCTTCATAAAAGTATTTCCTCAAGTAACATTTCGGCGGCTACGTGGGGAGTTGTTACTTATCGATCTTAAGATCGGTAAGTATATTGATAGGTATTTGTCTGTCTGTGTGTATGTATGTCTGTCTGTATGTCTGTGTGTCTGTTAGATGAACGCGATATCTGACGAACGCGTGCTCCAAATTTTGCACGTGCATGCATCTTACCTCGGACCAGAAGCCTATAGATTTTGGGTTAATTATGTCGTATAATTAGCGAGTTATTAACTAATTACCGATCTAAGATCGATAAGTCTTCGGTCTCCGACCGATATTCTCGTATTTAGTTTTGATACATATTTTTTGCGATCTTGCGAATATTTTATCGCCGTTAGAAAAATCTTACTATCTGCTATAAATATCCAGAGAGTACAACTTGATTTAGTACTTATTAAAATATAATTAAAGTATATTAGTTAACCAAGTAAAAAAAATATTTATCGCCTTGCTTTAATATCAATTTATTAGTTGTGTCATTTTAATCTGCAGTTGTGTTGACGAAATAAAAGCAATACTACTCAGAAAATATCATGACGATCCATGGACACAAATATGCGTGGTAAAGTGCCCGAATATTACTTATCGATTTTAATCGGTAAGTATGTTGATAGGTATTTGTCTGCTAGATGCACGCGATATCTCACGAAAGCGAGATTGAATCTTCTCAAGATTTTGCATGTGCATCCATTATAAGTCGTACCAGAAGCCTATTGATTTTGGATGAATTATGTCGTATAATTAGCGAGTTATTTATTTATTAGTGATGGGACACAAGGTGTCACTATGGAGTAAGAGCGCGGTTTTGGGGGATCCCCCAACTTTCGATCGATAAGTCTTCGGTCTCTGACCGATATTCTCGTATTTTGTTTTAATTCGTATTTTTGTGAATTCTACAATCCTGAGCTGTTCGTACAATACTTACGGCGCTCCAGTACTGTACGTACCAATGCGAAGGCAGTAAAGCAAAGAATCCTAAGGTAAAATGCCCTGGTAAGTATACTACGATAGCCCCCGCAAATTAGCGATTTGCAAGCGTTTTTAATCGACCGAGGATCATCATAAAACATAACTTATGGTGGTTTCCGTTTTTATTTTGAGTAATTTGTATTGCCGCTTTTCAATTTAGAAAAATTTAGGTTGCCGCCATTGACACCTACCAGAAAAAAAATTATACCTCGTTGTTCGAGCTCGCGAGGAATACCACTTAGATATTTATCCACGCTTGTGCCGACTCGTGTTTTCGTCCGCAAGTACGGTAAATTGTGAAATCCAATCGTTTGATTAAGCGACGCGCAAGTGACCTGTCGCGTCACCTGTTACCAAATTTTCGAATAGTAAATTGCTATTCTAATAGTTGAATATTCGAATATAAGTCCAGTATATGATCCAGTAATTATGGACTTGATTTATGTTAAGTGAGTAAACTTGCTTTTTATGTTTTATGTAAATTCCAACAGGAATCGTAACTTGGCTGATGGTTAAGTTTCGCAAAACATTTCTGACTCGTTGCGGACTCATTCGAACGCTCCGCGGACTCATTTGACACCGCGGACTCGGGTTGGGAAACACTGCACTAAACGAACACGCAGCTCGTATAAGTTTCTAAAGTCTTACAAGACGACTTAAATAATAAAGATTCATTAAATAATCGTGTCTCAGTGCTGGGTTTCGAATTCTAAATCAGTTTTCACGTAAGATATACGTTCATTGTGTCGCCACAAGTATTGATTTAGATATCGAGAGATTTACTGCGAAAAGTGCTTGGGCTTGAACTGTGGAAGCAAGTAGGATTGCTTCATACTTGAACACCAGGAGTTCACAGGTTTAGTCACAAATAGAAAAGCCCTTACTGTTGTAAGTTCAATATCTGATGCTTGGGATGAAGAATTCATCAATCGGAGACTGAAGTCTTGATCAAAGTGGAGTGATTCTATAAATTTTCAAAATATTTCGATTCCTCGTCAATTCAAAGATGTTCAATGTAAATATTTCCTGTACAAATTTGGCATATTCTGTCAAATAATATCAAAGCATTCCAAGAGGAATTGCCACAGTCGTTCAACTTAACGCTGATTCCGCGTAAAATCCCACTGATTACTGCACTAGAAGAATGGATATTCCTAAGTTTTTATAGAATTCTGACAGATGTCAAGTTGAACCAGCTTTTTTGCGATTGACTGAGCGAAGCAAACCGAAGCTATTTGCAATTAGTTTTGGAAAAGAAGACAAAAGAGTACAACGACAATAACTTTGATGACTCGATATTGAGTTGCGGAAAAAGAGCCGGACTTGGAAAAGAAAAATTCTGGCACTAGTTTTTGACCCTACTCGACCCGCGTCAGGATTCTGCCTCATTTATGACTTTCTGTGAATATTCATGGGGGTGGCTTCGTCAGCAGTCCGCGTGGTTATAAGTTTTAGTTTAGATTGGGTTGGGAAAAATATTCGAATATCGTATCGAATATTAGAGTGACAGTTTACTGTTCTAATATCTGGTAACACAACACGTGCCTTGGACACGACACGTCATTTGCGTGTCGCTGAATTAAACGATTACACAGCACAGCGCACGAGACACGAGAATCAGCATACACTCCTGGCTAACGGACAATGACGTCAGAATTGAGTGTTATATTTGCGTTATAATATTTTTATTTATTTCTAATGGATATGATATTGTTTCAATTCCTCGATGAGCATATTGTTCCCCCAATGTCGCATGATTTTCAATTATTCAGTTGGAAGTTTTGTAAGATTGGAAACATTGATACAAGTTTTTAATGAGGTAACATTTAGTCAATCATATCAGAAATTTTTACCGATCCGCAGTGACGACATTTCATGAGTTACATTTAATGCAAAAGCATGGATGCGACAGAAAAATACAACGAATCCCGAGACCAGTAGCAAATATATTTTTCACTTTTTCATTTTAAAGTGACGATAAGGAAGATCAAAGCCGACACGGAAGATAATGATCAAAATAATGTTAATTTGGAGATGGGGAATACAAATTCATATCTATAATTTCCCTGGCGTTTCGTCGACAATGATCGCACAGTAGTTTTCGAATTTGTCAAACAGAACGCGCAGTTCCGCAATAAATTAAAAAAAATTAAGCATGAGAAATTGACTCATAACTGAAATACCCTCAGAGAGAAGAAAACCAAAAATCGAAAGTTTAATGGAAGATGTGAGTCTAGCTTTCTGTGTAGATGATTTTGTAACTTTCGGAAGGGTGATGAAAGTAGGTTTTGATCCTTCTCTAGAAACATTAGCAATGTTTCGTTTCATTTTGAATACTTGAACACATGCTCATTCTTCTGGTTTTGACGATAGGATATTCTTCAAATGTTTTTGACTATTTAAAAGAAAAGGGAAAGTTTACATTCGTAGTTGATTATTAGTGGTTGGAGATCTTCGACAACGCGCCCTTAATAAACAAGTCCTGTCACGAACTAAACGATTTGTTTCTGAACCAGTTACTAGTGTTAAGTGCTGTCCTAATGAAATTCAACTAAGAATCTGTGTAGTTTGTTCAAAACAGTCAACACGATGGAACTTGGAATAGAATCAGGAACATGGCATCTGCTGAAACAATGAACATAAACTAAATATTTCATACGGCAAGGCAACCCAATTTTGCAGTATTATAATATCACAACTATCTATATTTCAAATCAATCAGAACGATATAGATTAAAAACATACAAAATCCAACATTATATAAATACTTAATGTTTTGACTCCACAAGCAAAACAATCGGACGAAATATGCTCCGAAGTAAATAAAATCCAAGCTTTATAACTGAAATATTTATGGATAACATAGAAAATGATTTTAGAAAAAACAAAATGTTTGCTCAACTTCCAAAAACAATTGGAGGAATAAATACAGAAACAAAACCTGTGAAAAAAAAACGAAACTGTCAATGCAAGTTAATCAAAAGAAAAAGGGATAGAATTAAAAACCAGCCCTTCCCCCTGAAAGATAGATAGAATTATAGACCTAATATTCCCATAGTGAGAATGTATGTTATGTATGTGTAACTGTGTGTGTGTGTTGTGGATGCTATATATGTAGTGTTTATTTTGTGCGTAAATGTACTCAAAGAGCTTCAAGTAAACAGAGCTTCGCACATAATTAGAATTGGATATGCGCACTTTCACTTTTCTGACAACTTGTTGATCATCAGGGTCACAAGATCTCCAACTTGGAAGTTGCGTTGAACATTGAGTCACTTCTGTCGTCACTGTAATTCGGGAAGATATTTTTTGTCAAGCGCTGCCAAAATAAATCAAGTAATCGTTGAACATGTCTGTGTCCTCTTCCGTATTCATTTGTTCGAGAGAACAAATCAGGTGGCAATTACTGTTCTAATCTATTTATCAAATTTGAGCTGGGAGTGAGGGCTTTCAAGTCTGTCGGATCGTCACTTATCGGTGTGAGTGGTTTATCGTTGAGAATTCCTTCCACTGCTGTTTGAAGAGACCATAATAAGTAATCATTGAGAGACTGGCCATTAAACATAGCTCAAAGAACCAATCTTTCCACCACTCCGTTTTCGTGAATAGAAAGAAAGAAGAGGTGAAAATTGCCACTGTATACCATTTTGGGATAGAGATGTGTCGATCTGTTGGGAATTCCACTTGATAATAATTTCATAACGTCCGCATATAGATATATATAACGAAATTGGTTTTGTACTAAATTTAATTACTTTAAGCCTTATGGCATGTATTAGGAAAATTGCCAATCATATCTCCTCGTTTTTCATTTTTAATAGCTTAAAAATTCTAGCTATACAGGCATTCAGCAAACGCGAGTACACTTTTTCTCCCTCACTGGCTTGGCTTTCATAATCTTAGTCGTCCGCATTTAATGATCTTCTAATCTCCCTTTCTTCAGAAAGCTGTGCATACTCTACCTTTTTCTATCTGCTTCTACCTAGTTGCTTCTCATCGCTGTCGATTTGAAACCGGGAAAAGTCACAACCGTTGGTTACAGGGAAATTAATGAGTAGACCAGCGTTATGTTGCTTTATTCAAATGTAAGGTGTATGTTCTTCAAGTTGTGGGCGACAGTTATAAATATATCACTGCCTACTTCGAGTTTACAGCTATCATCACTTCTGTGCTCATTCGTTCTATTACAATATTTCAATGACGTAGTTTATTTATTTCTGCATGTTGCAAATCTATGATTGTGAAAAGTGACAATAGCACAGCAACGAAACGACAGTTCTTTTTTAATGAGCAATTCGAGAGTCCTGCTGCACGCTTACACAAACGTATTTCTGTAACCTTTTGTCTGACCAAAGTCAGACATCCGCAGACAAGCAGTTTACAACAATCAACTTTTTTATTGTTCAGGGCTAGGCTTTTATTAGTTTTTAATTCACATTCATTCAGATTTATGACGTCATAATCAATCTAATAAAGCATTTAAATTTCGTTCTTTCAATTTAGATAACAAGCGATACAGGCAACGTTCGCACATTTACGCACATTACTTGGAAATTGTGGAGTATAAAAATCAACTTAAATACCTTCAGAGAAGATAAGATAAGCAAAAATCAAAAGGTTAACAGATGATGTGAGTTTAGCTTTCTGTTTAGATTGTTTTGTAACTTTTCTAACAGTATTTCATTTCATTTAGAATAACTGAATATTTGAATACATGCTCAAAATATCTGTTCATGGAACAGCTATCGCTGTGCTTTGTTTATTCAATGATATATTGCTTCCGCGGTTAACTTGCCTGATGAGAGTGGCTCAGAGCAGTGTTCCCTCTAAGGTGTGCGCGTGTGCGCGCGCACACAGCTTTCAGAGGCTGCGCACACGCATAGATTTACTGCGCACAGACATATTTCGATGTAATGTAACAATGTTCTCGGTTGGCAGGTTGAGAAAGTTTGTTGTTGGCCCACCCATTACCCGGTTAGAACGCCAAAATTTCTTCATTGGTTTTTGCACAAATATTAGTCATTTCCAAAAAAGTGCGCACACACCAAAATTTCTGCGCACACATACTACAAAAAATTAGAGGGAACGTTGGCTCAGAGTATCTAAGTAAACCAGTCTCAGTTTATAGGCAGTGTTTCTTAACATGGGTTTTAATGGGTTCGACAAAGGTGCTGGTTTGAAACATTAGTATGTCATGGAGTACTTGTGTTACCATGTTATGTAAACCTACAGTTCACTGCAGATATTGAAGTTTATAAAATAACACAACTATTTGTTATTACTCAACAGTAATGCAATACGTCATACTGTATATATTGAAGACTTTTGCATTCTTTCCAGCATTCTACAAAATTACCTTTAACCGTTCAATCCAAGAAGCAGTTGAAGCGTGGATTGTTCACTTGCAACCAAACTAGTCTGGTAAATTTGCTTATTTTTTGATAATGCACAGTTGTCTTGGCGACGACGGTTCACGTATTGTTCGCTTATTCGCGTCCTTGGCGGGGTCAGCAAAACGATATGTCGACGGCTTAGGTACAATGGGAAGCAATTTTGTCCTTGCGATGAGGAAATTGAAACATAAGTTCGGCCAACCAGTGACGATCGCTTGGGCCTGTTTCTAAAAGGTCGTAGATAGCAAAGATTCAGGAATTCAATAGCCGCAAAATCTCCGATTTTAAGTCATACGTTCAAGCATCCACAAAAACGTAGTTGCTTCTGCAATGGTTTACATTTTTCAAGTTTTTTTGTCCAATGACGTAAAAAAAGAAGATTTTCACTAGAATCAAGTTTATGTTTCAATTGTTTCGAACTTGGTCAGTTTGCTTTTTGGTGTAGATTTCCTAACATGTGTCGCGCTTGTTCGGGTAAGCAGCATTCAGTGATCCATGGCCTGAGGATCTTTACAAGAAGATCAAATGCTAACAATCATCGCAATGCCTCTACTCGTACAAACAGCGTTGCCAATGCAAATGTTTCAGACGTGGTGTCCAGTTTCAGCTTTTGCCAGTTGTAGTGAAGGATCCATTGGGCTTTTCTGAATAAGTTATCGCTGTGGTAGACTCTGCTAGTCAAATTTCAATTATATATACATCATGAATCGAAACGAAAACTTGGTCTAATAAATATAAACCATACCCGTGTTAGCACTGACACTTTATGTAACAAAGGCGTTTCACAAGATACAGAAGTAGTAAAATTGTCGGTGAAATCTGGTTACGACGAATATTGGAGTTAAACAACGTGTTTGTAATCAAGTCACGAAGACCACATTCAGATAGAATGCTTATAAAAGTTCAATATATGCCTCACTTGCAGGATATTCCGTTGGCCGATATTGAAGCGAATCAAGCTATGATTTTAATCGCGGCAGATAATCTCATAGCGTTCTTCCAGCTTTTGCATGGAGTGGGTCGACAACGTGAACCAATAGGAATTGAATCTCCTCTTGGTTGGACTTGATCGGAAATTTGCGTACAAGTATTGACAATAAGACAATTTCAAATTTGATGCATTGCGGAATACGTGACCATTATACCATGCTACAAGAACAAATCGGATAAAATTGGTCCAGCGAATCTGTAGGCACGGCATATAATTTGTCGCATAGGGAGTCCTTCGAAGATAGACGAGAATATATTCTCACGAACAGTAAAATTAAATTATTTGACCGTCCTGATGAATTCGGTTTCATGGAGTTGAATGGAAATTGCGAAAAGTCACTAAACAAACACGCAGCTCGTATGAGATTCAAAAGTCTTACAAAGAAACAACGATTCAATGAATAATCGCGTCGGGGTGCTTTTTCATTTTCTGGAAAGACCGACAGCTATAAACGTCAATATAAAAGCCATGCTTCATTTATTCTATTTTTGAAAAATGATATTAATTCTGCAATTTTTAACTGTACAAATAACTGTTTTTCTTGGAAACAGCCATGTGCGTATAAATTATTGCCTCGTATTGCTTTCGTAGCTGTTGATTCATCTTATGTGGCGAATTTTTGTTGTTTAACGGGAGATACGTACGATAGCGGACATAAATTTCCTAGTAGCGCATTATCAATTATCGATATACACTTTTACGTTGATTTACTTACTTCGAAATAGAGTTCGATTCATTGGTATCAGCATCTAAGAACGTGATTGAAATGTTACACAATAACGGGTTCAAGACGACAGATTGGGTTTCGAATTCCAAATCAGTTTCACGTGAGATATACATTCATCGTCTCGCCACAAGTATTGATTTAGATATCGAGAGACTTACTCTGAAAAGTGCTTGGGGCTGAACTGTGGAAGCGAGAGAGATTGCTTCATACTTGAACACCAGGAGTTCACAGGTTTTGTCACAAATAGAAAAGCCCTTACTGTTGTAAGTTCAATACTTGATGCTTGGGATGAAAAATTCAACAATAAGAGACTGAAGTGTTGGTCAAAGTGGAGTAATTCTATAAGTTTTCAAAATATTTCAATTCCTCGTCAATTCAAAGATGTGGAATGTAAATATTCCCTGTACAAATTTGGCATATTCTGTCATATGATATCGAAGCATCCCAAGAAGAATTGCCAGGGTCGTTCTACTTAACGCTGATTCCGCGCAAACTCCCACAGATTACTGCGATAGAAGGATGAATATTCCTCAGTTTTTAGAGAATTCGGACATTGGACTAGTTTTTGACGCTACTCCCCCCGCATCAGGATTCCGCCTCATTGATGGATGACTTCCTGTGAATAGTCATGAAGGTGCCTTTGTCGGCAGTCCGCGTGGCTATAAGTGCTAGTTTAGTTCGGGTTGGGAAAAATATTCGAATATTTGAGTAACAGTTTACTGCTCTAATGGCCGTTCTCACGTGGCCTGGACACGGCACGTCACTTGCGCATCGTTGAATCAAACGCTTGGACAGTATAGCGCACGATACACGAGCATCAGCCTACAATCCTGGCTAACGGACAATGGCGTCAAAATTGGCTGTTATATTTGCGTTATAATATTTTTATTTATTTCCAGTGGATATGATATTGTTTCAATTTCTTGATGAGCATAATGTGTCCCAATTTCGCATGATTTTTAACTTTTCAGAAGGCCGTTTTGTAAAATTCGAAACATTGATACAAGTTCATGAAGTAACATTAGGTCAATAATATTAGAAATGTTTACCGATCCGCAGTGACGACATTTCATAAGTTTTATTTAATGCAAAAACATAGACACGACAGAAAAATACAACGAATCCAGGGGCCAGTAGCAAAGATATTGGTAACTTTTCAATTTTACAGTGGCGATAAGGAAGATCAAATCCAGATCGAAAGAAAAAATTTAAAATAAAGTTGATTTGGAGATGGAAATTGCAAAATCATTTCTATAATTTTTCGCAGCGCCTCGTCGCCAATGATCGCACAGTAGTTTTCAAATTTGTCAAACAGAACGCGCAGTTCTGCAATAAATTTAAAAAAATTAAACATCGATATCCACCAGAGCGCAAGACTTGATACACGCGTGATTAAAAGAACCCACATTTGTATGTGGAATGCCGAAATAATCACGCCATAATCGTGAAACATACTTTAGCGGCAGTGGTTCCCAAACTTTTTAGAGTTGGGACCCACTATTTATTACCAAAGCTTATGGCGACCCACTTAACTTTAATTTCATTTTGGTTTTTTAGGACATTATACAGAACACAGCAATGGCTAACCATCGCAAAACTACCGTGTTTCCTCGAAATGAAGACCTGGCCTGAAAATAAGATAATAATTTGAATTTTTAAAATGATTTTAAAATGACCCTACCCTTAAAATAAATTTAAAATGTGTGGGAGAAGAAAGGTTCATTAACCTGAAGTAAGGTGAAGATCACACCACTATTAAAGATTGTGTGATATCACAATTATGATATTTGTCACTTGATTTTTGTATAGAAAATACAAATAAAAACTATGGATGTCGGTTTTTATATAATATTTAGTAAAAAAATCTTGTGATTTTCTACAATGTAATTTTATTTTTGATAAATGAACACAAAAGACCTCTTCCAAAAAAAACCATAGTGTTATTCTTCAAAATAAATAAATCTAAATCCTGTCTAAATTTCGGGGAAACACGATAAGAAGTGCTGTACAGTGTACAAAACTGCTATGCGTAAAAAAGCCACGTGGTCATTCTTTGTGTAGAAAATTTTTGTTCCTTTGAGAAGATCGTAAAAAGGAACCAATCACAGATTCGAATTTAAATTCAATTTAATTTATTTTGTTTTTTTGAAGATTTACGTATTCGAGTCGCCACCGATCCTAATTACCAGTATGATTAACCAAAGCTCTCTACATCTTTTCACGACCAACTAAGATTCCTTTTGCGACCCACCAGTGGTTCGCGACCCATAGTTTGGGAACCGCTAAAGTTTAGCCTATATAAAATACGGTACTAAAATTTAAACATTTAAAAGTGTTTGCTTATGAACTCATTTAAGTGCGGGCTGAACGCGGCCCGTGCATGGGGCGTTGGTTGGACAGCCTAAACTATGTTTTTTTTATTCCTCTTCGTTTTCTTTTAGATATATTCTATATGCGGTTATAATTTCGCAATTTTTAGCGTTTGCTAAGACATAGGACATCTCTAGAAACATTAGTAATGTTTCATTTCATTTGGAATACTTGAACACTTGTTCATTCTTCTGTTTGCACGTTAGTATATTCTTCAGATTCAATATTCTAGAAATGTTTCCGACTATTCGAAAGAAAAAGGAAAATTTACATTCGTAGCTAATTATTATTAGTTGGAGATCGTTGACAACGCGCCCCAATAAATAAACAAGTCCTGTCACGAAGTTAACGATTTGTTTCTGAATCAGTTACCAGTGTCTGATATTAGAAAGCAAAGTTCTTCAGCATATTGCCTGTGCCTTAATGTACTGTCCCAATGAAATTCAACTTAGAATCGGTGTAGTTTGTTCAAAACAGTCAACACGATGGAACTTGGAATAGAATCAGGAACATGGCATCTGCTGAAAACAATGAACATAAACTAAATATTCCATACGGCAAGACAATTTTGCAGTATCATAATATCACAACTCTCTATATTTCAAATCAATCAGCACGATATAGATTAAAATCAAACAAAATTTAACATTATATATATACCCAATGTTTCGACTTTCCAAGTAACACAATCAAATGAAATATGCTCTAAAGCAGGGTTGGCCAACCTTTTTCGTCAAAGGGCCACATGTAGTTCCATGGTAGTTATGTTCTGGTTTACGCAAACTACAGGTTAATGAACAAACAAACAATACACTCACACCAAACTTTCACAATTATTAGAATAATGAAACTGTTGTTTCCCAACCATTGATGGGGCGCCATCAGTGGTTATTCCCGAAAGTTTCGCCAAAGGCAAGCGAAGATGCTTGATCATTTTTATCATAGCTCCCAACAAATCAATGCCTCCAGTCGTGGCTTAATAGGGACAATGACTGCGAGCTCTTTGGTAATTTAAAATCATCATTAACTCCCCGCAAGAAGATCGCCAAGTTGTCAACTGAGCAGGAAACTTGATGTCAGTGCTTTTGCCAAGCGCCAAGGAATACGATGAAAATTTTCCCGCGTTTGCAATTGAAGTTTCCGCTATAGATTTCCAAGGCTCTTCAAACACGACGAGTTATGGTCTGTCTTGACATGCTATTTTTCGCAAAACCTCTTTTATTTCTGGACGTTAAAAACATGACAACCCGAACAATACATAATATACATCCTTAGATTGTTTTGCCATATCATCATATAGAGTAGTAAAAGACCAAGAGTGTACGCGACTATGCACCTTTATGTATCGATATCTTCTCCCAGTTGGTTTCGCATTCAAAAATGATTTCAATTCTTCACTGCAATTTTTTTTTTATTCAATTCTGGGAAATACAGCGCGGGGGCCACTCTAAATGCTACCGGCGGGCCACGGGTTTGGACGACCCTGCTCTAAGTAACTAAAAATCCATTTTTATGACTAAAATATTAAAAGCAGTAGTCATTGTGCTTAATTCTCTGACTAAGTAATACTGCCACAAAGACTATATTTAATATTTACACTTGAGGAACCTCATTCATTATTGTTATTTCCAACAGATACCATAACGAGTACTACCAACAATACAGACCTGTAAACACTGGTTCACACCGAATACTGAGCTAGACTGAGACAAGACATCCAACCATTGCGCTTCAATTTACTGATTATCTTAATAAATCGAGCGACTCACAACATACCATTGTGTAGTACGTCTGACGCGCCTTCGTTGTTTACCTAAAAACGTCAAAACGACGACGGTTCACATATGCTTCGGCTATTCGCGTCCTTGACGGGGTAGCAAACGACATGTCGACGGCCTAGGTACGATGGTAAGTAATTATGTAGTTGCAATGAGTAAATGTGGCAAAGATTCAGGAATTCAGTAGCCGCAAAATATCCGATTTTAAGTCATACTTTCAAGCATCCACAAAAACGTAGTTGCTTCTGCAATTGTTTACATTCTTTAAATGTACATGTCCAATGACGTAAAAAGGAGATTTTCACTAGAATTAAGTTTATGTTTCAATTGTCTCGAACTTGGACAGTTTGCCTTTTGGTGTAAATTTTATAACATGTGTCGCGCTTGTTCGGGTAAGCATTATTCAGTGATCCATGGCCTGAGGATCTTTACAAGAAGATCAAATGCTAACCACCATCGCAATGTCTCTACTCGTAAAACAGCGTTGTCAATGCAAATGTTTCAGACGTGGTGTCCAATTTCAGCCTTTGCCAGTTGTAGTAAAAGGTCTGTAGGCTTTTCTGAATACTTTATCGCTGTGCTAGACTTTGCTATTCAAATCTCAATTATATATACATCATCAATCGAAACGAAGACTTGGTCTAATAAAAATAAATCGTACCTGTGTTACCATTGACACTTTATGTAACAAAGGCGTTTCACAAATAGCAGAGTTAGTAAAATTGTAGGTGGAATCTGGTTATGAAGAATATTGGCATTAAACAACGTGTTTGCGATGGAGTCACGCATACAACATTCAGCTAGAATGTTTAAAAGAGATCAATATATGCCTCGCCTCACTTGCAGGATATTCCGTTGGCCGATATTGAAGCGAATCAAGCTATGATTTTAATCGCGGCATAAAATCCCATAGCGCACCCATCGCAACATGAACCAATACGAATTGAAATTCCTCATGGTTGGACTTGATCGGAAATTTGCGTACAAGTATTGACAATAAGACAATTTCAAATTTCATGCATTGTGGTTTATGTGACCATTATAGTCACGTCGTTCAATTTACCGTGTAGCGAGTCGTTTAATAATAGACGAGAATATTTTCCACGAACAGTAAAATTAAATTATTTTACCGTCCTGATGAAGTTGGTTTTATGGAGATGAATGGAAATTGCGAAAAGTCACTAAACGAACACGCAGCTCGAATAAGATTCCAAAGTCTTACAAAACAACTTAAAACAAACAACGATTTAATAAATAATCGCGTCAAGGTGCTTTTTCAATTGCAGAAAAGACCGACAGCTATAAACGTCAATATAAAAGCCATGCTTCATATATTCGATTTTTGGAAGATTATATTAATTCTGCAATTTTTAACTGTTCAAATAATGATTCTTCTTGGAAACAGCCATGTGCGTATAAATCACTGCTCCGTTCTTTCATCGCACAGTAGTTTTCGAATTTGTCAAACAGAATGTGCAGTTCTGCAATAAATTGAAAAAAAAAACTGACATCGATATTCAACAGAGCGCAAGACTTACTATACGCGTGATTGAAAGAAACGACATTTGGATGTCACGCCATAATACGAAACATAGTTTAGCCATATATAAAATACGGTACTAAAATTTAAACCTTAAAAAATGTTTGCTCATGGACTCATTGCTTATGAACGCGGCCCGCGGGTTGGGCAGCCCTAAACTTATCTGTTTTTTATTCAACTTCGTTTTCTTTTAGACATATATTCTTTATGCGGTCATAATTTTGCCATTTTTAGCGTCTTTAACCACCTTCAACTGCTAAGATATAAATTTTGCATGATGATTACAACAAAACCTATGAATTGTGTTCTTTTATTCAGATAACAAGCGATTCAGGCCAAGAATGCTCATTTGGAAATATTTCTTAAATATGTGGAGCGTGAAAAATCGACTCAAAACTAAAATACCTTTAGCGAGAAGAAAACCAGAAATCAAAAGTTTAATGAAAGATGTGAGTTTAGCTTTCAGTGTATATGGTTTTGTAACTTTCGGAAGGATGATGAAGGAAGCTTTTGATCTTTCTCTAGAAACATTAGTAATGTTTCATTTAATTTTGAATACTTGAACACATGCTCATTCTTCTGGTTTTCACGTTAGGATATTCTTCAAATGCAATATTTTAAAAATGTTTCCGAGAAGAAGAAAAATTTACATTCGTAGCTAATTATTAGTGGTTAGAGATCTTCGACAACGCGCCCCCAATAAACAAGTCCTGTCACGAACTAAACGATTTGTTTCTGAACCAGTTACTAGTGTTTGATATTAGAGAGCAAGGGGTTCCAGCATATTATCTGTGCCCTAAAGTGCTATGTCCCAATGAAATTCAACTAAGAATCTGTGTAGTTTGTTCAAAACAAAAACAGTCAACACGGTGGAACTTGGAATAGAATCAGGAACATGGCATCGGCTGAAAACAATAAACGAAAACTCAATATTTCATACGGATAGACAACTCAATATATTCTCTATATACACAACTCTCTATATTTCAAATCCATCAGCACGATAAAGATTAAACACATACAAAACCTAATTTAGTATATACATACGTTATGTCCTGGCTCTACAAGTAACACAACCAAACGAAATATGCTCTGATGTAAATATAATTCAAGTTTTATGACAAAAATATTAAAGCAGTAGTTACTATGTTAGTTTAACTGCAATACTGCCCTGAATTATATTTGTCTTACACTTGAAAACCTCAGTTCTTACAAGAATTTGTAAATTTACAAATTGGTATTTCCAACAGATACATAACGAGTACTACCAACAATACAGAACCTGTAAACACTGATTCATACCGAATACTGAGATAGACTGAGACAAGATATTCAACTATTGCGCTTCCAATTTACCAATTATCCTAATTAATCAACAAACTCAAATCATACCATTGTGTAGTGCGTCAGACGCGCCTTCGCAGTTTACGTAAAAATATCAATATTTACCCTGGCCAACATTCGGATGGAACAGTAACAACCTATGATGATTTAAGAATGCATGTTAGTAGGGATTTCAGGATAGAGGTTACATGAATATGATTAAGTACTGCTTGTACCGAGCTTTATAGGGTAGATCAGGGTGGTCCGAACCGCGGCCCTAGCACACATTCCTTGCGCCCGTAGAACAATTTTAGCGTGTACTAAACCATTGTTAGATAAGTGTATTTATTGGCAGAATATTTCTGAACTATTCCAACTGTGATTGGCCTTTTTCCTAATCCCGATGTCGGGATTGATATTTGATAAAATCACGGAATTTCAATGTTGTATCTATAAACGTCAAGACTCTACCAGGATGGAAATGACTTCCCGTGGTCGGTACGAGGAGAATAAATTGTCTTGTGCAGACATGACCAAGCTGATGAGATGAATCGCGCTTCCATCCAAACTTCGTACATGAAGCTCGCCTTAAGTAACTTCTCAATTTTAGAGACGTGACCATGTTACAGCAATGACGAAACGCAGACCTGACTTAGCGCCGCGCAATCCAGTTTTTTTTAGCTGGGTCCGGAGTCTCATCTTAGACAGATATTTTGGTTGTTATTTGACGATACCACTAAACCTAATCACGCTAAAAGTAATGAAATTAGTCAAATATATGAATTCATCATACAATAAGTGTAGAATAAATGAACAAGAAATAGGAAACGTATTTACCTTTCTCCAACAATGTTCAATGACGGGGTCTGGTGTGTTTCCAAGTAATTTCTACCACGAAAAAATATAATTTTAGCGGACATTACAAAATCAAACATGAAGAAAAATGCCAAAAATATCACGATATTTCTCAAGAAGCAAATGGGTAAACTCCCGATGTTTTATCACTTTTGGGTTTTCTCCTACTGCGGCCCGCGAGACATCGCCAAAAGTTATTGCGTCACGCCAACCTCGCAACCTTGGACCACCCTACGGTAGATCTTATATAACGGATGCTGCAATTAGTAGAAACATAAATTAATATTGTATCGGTAAAAGATGTAGAGAAATCGATCTTCAATACGATTCCAGAAAATCTATGGACACGCATGTAAATTTAGATTCGAATATTGCTCCATCCAATTCGCTAAGACAAGTAATAATTCCACAACGTCTTCATATATATATATCACAAAGTTTGTTTGAGATTAAATGTAATTACTTTAAGCCACATATCATGTATTTGAAAGATTGTCAATTATATCTACCCGTTCCTTATTTTTTATAATGTGAAAAATTCTAATTTTACGGGCATTCAGCGAATGCGAGTATCGGCTTTTCTAATCTTATTTCTCATCATTCTATTGCTAGGACATCGGTGCTGTATGCGATGCAATCACGAGAAAAAAAAGCGTATACATTGTGTTATTTTTATCTCATATAACATTCGAGACACGCGAAAGACCACTCATTTAACCTTATTTCTTGACACGTGTGGATACCAAGAGATACAAAATATGTGGATAACAAAATATGTGAGTTTAACTGTCTTTGACTTGTCAAATACTGGCACTATGATCTTCAAACCTCCCTTTCATACTAGCCCATTCATCAGAAATTGAGCAATTGTAAAGGTTGTGCATGTGGGATAAGTAGTTTGAAGTAAGGTTTCCCACTACGGTTACGAGTTACGAGCTAACTAAAGTCGTATCCTGTCCTTTGGTATCCAAATTATTGTCTTCAATTTATGCACCAACAAGAAACTTTGAAAGAAACTTTGTTATCAGCCTGAAACACATCTGATGTTGACATCAGTGTTAACAGTCTTAGTACTTCAGTATTGGTGTTAATAATAAATTGACTATTTTTGACAAGGACTCAAAGAACAGCCGCGAGTATGCTAGGATACAAAATAAGACAATGATAAATATAACATTGCATATATTAGAGCAATCCTCAAAACCTATTCGGGTAATATATGAATAAACCTAACAATATTCGAAGTATCAAATTCCCACCTGATAATCATTTTGCAACGTATGGCATGAGTCAAACGCGAATTAGGAAATCCCATCATTAATAAAATATACAATTGCACAGCAGACTCCCTGATCCGCATTGTGCGACGTGCATTTACCTCGTGGCAACAAAATTTCGAATTTTCTAGCGAGGGGGGAGTCATTTATTCGCCCCAGTAAAAGGAGGGACGTTGACTAACTTTACAGTGCTTAAATTAAAGGGCTTGAGATTCCATAAAATGGGCAAAAAAACATTTCGTACATACCGGCCCCGGAAATTATATGAAATGTTTTGATGAAATGGATAACGGAGAAAAATATTTGAAAAAAAAATGTTTGCTCAACTTCCAAAAACAATTGGAGTTAAAAATACGGAAACAAAACCCATGAAGATAACGAAATTGTCAATGTGTATGTGTGGTGTGGATGCTATATATGCAGTGTGTATATTGTACGTAAATGTACTCAACAAGGTTCAAGTAGGCAGAACTTCAATATGTCACGCACATAAATACAATCGGATATGTGCACTTTCACTTTTCTGACAACTTCTTGATAATCAGGGCCACAAAATCTCTAACTTGAAAGTTGTGTTGAACATTGAGTCACTTCTGTCGGCACTAAAATTGGGGACAATATTCTTTTGTCAAGCGCTGCCAAAATAAATCAAGTAATCGCTGAACAAGCATCATTCAGTGATCCATGGCCTGGGGATCTTTACAAGAAGATCAAATGCTAACAATCATCGCAATGTCTCTACTTGTACAAACAGCGTCCAGTTTCACCTTTTGCTAGTTGTAGTAAAAGGTCCATCGGGCTTTTCTGAATACGTTATCGCTGTGGTAGACTCTGCTAGTCAAATCTCAATAATATATACATCATGAATCGAAACGAAGACTTGGTCTAATAAAAACAATTGACACTTTATGTAAGAAAGGCGTTTCACAAGATACAGAAGTAGTAAAATTGTCGGTGAAATCTGGTTACGACGATTATTGGCGTGGAATAACGTGTTTGTGATCGAGTCACGCATACCACATTCAGCTAAAATGCTTAAAAGAGATCAATATATGCATTACTTACACGATATTCCGTTGGCCGATATTAGAGCAAATCAAGCTATGATTTTAATCGCGTCCGATAATCCCATAGCGCACTTCCAGCATATTTCCACAAACAGTGAAATTAAATTATTTGACCGTCCTGATGAATTTGGTTTTATAGAGCTGAGTGGAAATTGCAAAAAGTCATTTAACGAACACGCAGCTTGTATAAGATTCAAATCTTACAAAACATCTTAAAATAACGTTTAATAAATAATCGCGTCAGAGTCCTTTTTTATTTTCTGGAAAGACCGACAGCTATAGACGTAAAAAAGGGTGCTTCAAATATTTGATTTTTGGAAAATGATATTAATTCTGCAATTTTTAACTGTTCAGATAATTGTTTTTCTTTGAAACAGCCATGTGCGTTTAAATTATTGCTTCGTTCTTTCGGAGCTCTTGATTCATCTTATGTGGCGAATTTTTGTTGTATAACGGGAGTTACGTACGATAGCGGAAATAAATTTCCTAGTAGCGCAATATCAATTATCGATATCGACTTTTAAGTTGATTTATTAACTTCTAAATGGAGTGTCGCTTCATTGGTATCAGCATCTAAGAACGTGATTGAAATGTTACACGATAACAGGTTCAGGCCGACTGAATGGGTTTCGAATTTTAAATCAGCTTCCACGTGAGATACACGTTCATCGTGTCGCCACAAGTATTGATCTAGATATCGAGAGACTTACTGCAAAAAGTGCTTGGGCTAGAACTGTGGAAGCGAGAGGGATTGCTTCATACTTTAACACCAGGAGTTCACAGGTTTTGCACAAATAGAAAAGCCCTTACTGTTGTAAGTTCAATATCTGATGCTTGAAATGAAGAATTCAACAATAAGAGACTGAAGTGTTGGTCAAAGTGGAGTAATTCTATAGGTTACAAAATATTTCGATTTCTCGTCAATTCAAAGATGTGGAATGTAAATATTCCCTGTACAAATTTGGCATATTCTGTCAAATGATATCGAAGCATTCCAGGAAGAATTGCCAGAGTCGTTCCACTTAACGCTGATTCCGCCCAAAATCCCATTGATTACTGCACTAGAAGAATGGATATTCCTCAGTTTTTAGAGAATTCTGACAGATGGCTAGTTGGACCAGATTTTTTGCGATTGATTGAGCGAAGCAAACCGAAACTATTTGCAATTAGATTTGGAAAAGACGACAAAATAGTACAGTGACAAACTTTGACTCGATGTTGAGTTGCGGAAAAAGAACCGAAACTGGGAAGAAAAAATTCTGGCGCTAGTTTTTGACCCTACTCGACCCGCGTCAGGATTCTGCCTCATTGATGGATGACTTCCTGTGAATAGTCATTGGGGTGGCTTTGTCGGCAGTCCGCGTGGTTATAAATTTAAGTTTAGTTTGGGTTGGGAAAAATATTCGAATATCGTATCGAATATTAGAGTAACAGTTTGCTGTTCTAATATCTGGTAACACAACACGTGACCTGAACACGGCACGCCTTTTGTGCGTCGCTGAATCAGACGCTTGGACAGCACAGCGCACGAGACACGAGAATCAGCATACACTCCTGGCTAACGGACAAGGCGTCAGAATTCAGTGTTTTATTTGCGTTATAATATTTTTTATTTATTTCCAGTTGTTATTATATTGTTTCAATTCCTCGACGAGCATAATGTTTCTCAATGTCGCATGATTTCCAACTTTTCAGTAGGCCATTTGTAAATTTCGAAACATTGATACAAGTTCTTAATGAAGTATAACATTAAGTCAATCATATCAGAAATTCTCACCGATCCGCAATGACGACATTCCATGGTTTATATTTAATGCAAAAACATGGATGTGACAGAAAATACAACGAATCCTGAGGCCAGTAGCAAAGATATTGTTCACTTTTTCATTTTACAGTGACGATAAGGAAGATCAAAGCCGACACGAAATATAACAATCAAAATAAAGTTAATTTGGAGATGGGGATTGCAAATTTATTCTTATAATTTTCCTAGCGTCTCGTCGACAATGATCGCACAGTAGTTCCGCAATAAATTAAAAAAATTAAATATCGATATCCACCAGATCGCAAGACTTGATACGCGCGTGATTAAAAGAACCGACATATGTATGTGGATGGCCGAAACAATCACGTCATAATCACGAAACATACCTCAGCCTATACTTCTATATGCGGTTATAATTTTGCCGTTTCGGCGTCTTTATCCACCTATAACTGCTAAGACATAGGTTTTGTATGACGTCATAATGATTCCAACAAAATATATGAATTGAGTTCTTTTATCCAGATAACAAGCGATTCAGGCCAAGAACGCTCATTTGCAAATATTCCCTAAAAATGTGGAGCATGAGAAATCGACTCAAAAATCAAATATCTTTAGCGAGAAGAAAACCAGAAATCAGAAGGTTAATGGAAGATGTGAGTTTAGCTGTATGTGTAGATGGTTTTGTAACTTTCGGAAGGGTGATGAAGGAAGCTTTTGATCTTTCTCTAGAAACATTAGTAATGTTTCATTTCATTTTGGATACTTGAATACATGCTCATTCTTCTGGTTTTCACGTTAGGATATTCTTCAAATGCAATATTTTAGAAATGTTTCCGACTATTCAAAATAAAAATAAAATTTACATTCGTAGCTTATTATTAGTGGTTAGAGATTTCGACAACGCGCCCCCAATAAACAAGTCCTGTCACGAACTAAACGATTTGTTTCTGAACCAGTTACCAGTGTTTGATATGAGAGGGCAAAGTGTTTCAGCATGTTGTCTGTGCTTTAAAGTGCTGTCCCAATGTAATTCAACTAAGAATCTGTGTAGTTTATTCAAAACAAAAACAGTCAACACGGTGGAACTTGGAATAGAATCAGGAACATGGCATCTGCTGAAAACAAGGAACATAAACTCAATATTTCATACGGATAGACAACTCAATTTTGCAGTATTATAATATCACAACTCTCTATATTTCAAATCAATCAGCACGATAAAGATTAAACACATACAAAACCTAATTTAGTATATATATACATACGTTATGTCCTGGTTCTACAAGTAACACAACCAAACGAAATATGCTCTGATGTAAATATAATTCAAGTTTTATGACAAAAATATTAAAGCAGTAGTTACTATGTTAGTTTAACTGTAATACTACGCTGAATTATATTTGTATTACACTTGAAAACCTCAGTTCTTACAAGAATTTGTAAATTTACAAATTGGTATTTCCAACAGATACATAACGAGTACTACCAACAATACAGCACCTGTAAACACTGATTCACACCGAATACTGAGATAGACTGAGACAAGATATTCAACTATTGCGCTTCCAATTTACCAATTATCCTAATTAATCAACAAACTCACATCATACTATTGTTTAGTGCGTCAGACGCGCCTTCGCAGTTTACGTAAAAACGTCAATATTTACCCTGGCCAACATTCGGATGGAACAGTAACAACTAGGGCTGGGAATTTTAGGGAAAACACTTTGACCGTTAACCGGGTGAAATTAATCGGTTAACCGGTTAACCGCCGCGTGACGTTTGACGTAATGATTATAATTTCAGCTTGTTACGTCATAATGGTCATAAAGCAATTCCGCGTGTTCTTATTCCGGTATCGCTCAAAATTATTCACGAATCGAGATAGTTTCATGTTTCCTCTGCTGCAAAAGATAGGCAGCGTGGTTCGGGCGTGTGGAAATATTTTAGAAAACTCGATTCCGTTCTTAAACGTCATTTATGTGACAAATTTTGAGTGTTCTATGTGCAAATTCTACTTCGAGATATATATCATAAAGAAAAACGGCATCAACTGCACACTTGTTGTATGACATTGAATATCCGATTTTGCAATGAAATCGTGAACAATATATTTCGAAATCGACCGAAAACTGATTCTGAATTCATCATTGTAAATTTTTATTATCAGCAAACTTGGTGCTTCCATTATTTTTTACATTTATTGATTCCTTACCCACACAGTTAGTAAGATTTTTTTGAATTAAACGCCGCAAAAGATAAATTTGCGATGACGTAATCATATTTGACGAAATTGTACGGTATAAAGATGATTTGTACCTGAGATGTCAGTTAACGGTTAAAATAAAGCATAACCGTTAACCATATGAAATCGGTTAACCGGTTAACCATTCCCAGCCCTAGTAACAACCTATGATGATTTAAGAATGCATGTTAGTAGGGATTTCAGGATAGAAGTTACATGAATATGATTAAGTACTGCTTGTACCGAGCTTTATAGGGTAGATCAGGGTGGTCCGAACCGCGGCCCTAGCACACATTCCTTGCGCCCGTAGAACAATTTTAGCGTGTACTAAAGAAGATAAACGTCAAGACTCTACCAGGATGGAAATGACTTCCCGTGGTCGGTACGAGGAGAATAAATTGTCTTGTGCAGACATGATCAAGCTGATGAGATGAATCGCGCTTTCATCCAAACTTCGTACATGAAGCTCGCCTTAAGTAACTTCTCAATTTTAGAGACGTGGCCATGTGACAGCAATGACGAAACGCAGACCTGACTTAGCGCCGCGCAATCCAGTTTTTTTTTAGCTGGGTCCGGAGTCTCATCTTAGACATATATTTTGGTTGTCATTTGACGATACCACTAGACCTGATCACGCTAAAAGTAATGAAATTAGTCAAATATATGAATTCATCATACAATAAGTGTAGAATGGGTGAACAAGAAATAGGAAACGTATTTACCTTTCCCCAACAACGTTCAATGACGGGGTCTGGCGTGTTTCCAAGTAATTTCTACCACGAAAAAATATAATTTTAGCGGACATTACAAAATCAAACATGAAGAAAAATGCCAAAAATATCACGATATTTCTCAAGGAGCAAATGGGTAAACTCCCGATGTTTTATCACTTTTGGGTTTTCTCGTACTGCGGCCCGCGAGACATCGCCAAAAGTTTTTGCGTCACGCCAACCTCGCAACCTTGGACCACCCTAGGGTAGATCTTATATAACGGATGCTGCAATTAGTAGAAACATAAATTAATATTGTATCGGTAAAAGATGTAGAGAAATCGATCTTCAATACGATTCCAGAAAATCTATGGATTCGACACGCATGTAAATTTAGATTCGAATCTTGCTCCATCCAATTCACTAAGACAAGTAATAATTCCACAACGTCTTCATATATATATCACAAAGTTTGTTTGAGATTAAATGTAATTACTTTGAGCCACATATCATGTATTTGGAAGATTGTCAATTATATCTACCCGTTCCTTATTTTTTATAATGTGAAAAATTCTAATTTTACGGGCATTCAGCGAATGCGAGTATCGCCTTTTTTAATCTAATTTCTCATCATTCTATTGCTAGACATCGGTGCCGTATGCGATGCAATCACGAGAACCACAAAATACTTCTAAGAGAATGATAACAGAAACAAATTATGTGGATAATAAAATATGTGAGTTTAACTTTCTTTGACTTGTCAAATACTGGCACTATGATCTTCAAACCTCCCTTTCATACTAGCTCATTCATCAGAAATTGAGCAAATGTAAAGGTTGTGCATGTGGGATAAGTAGTTTGAAGTAAGGTTTCCCACTACGGTTACGAGTTACGAGCTAACTAAAGTCGTATCCTGTCCTTTGGAATCCAAATTATTGTCTTCAATATATGCACCAACAAGAAACTTTGAAAGAAACTTTGTTATCAGCCTGAAACACATCTGATGTTGACATCAGTGTTAACAGTCTTAGTACTTCAGTATTGGTGTTAATAATAAATTGACTATTTTTGACAAGGACTCAAAGAACAGCCGCGAGTATGCTAGGATACAAAATAAGACAATGATAAATATAACATTGCATATATTAGAGCAATCGTTAAAACCTATTCGGGTAATATATGAATAAACCTAACAATATTCTAAGTATCAAATTCCCACCTGATAATCATTTTGCAACGTATGGCATGAGTCAAACGCGAAATAGGAAATCCCATCATTAATAAAATATACAATTGCACAGCAGACTCCCTGATCCGCATTGTGCGACGTGCATCTACCTCGTGGCAACAAAATTTCAAATTTTCTAGCGAGGGGACTGGGAGGGGTCTGTCATTTATTCGCCACAGTAAAAGGAGGGACGTTGACTAACTATAGTACTATACAGTGCTTAAAATAAAGGGCTTAAGGTTCCATAAAATGGGCAATAAGACATTTCGTACATACCGGCCCCGGAAATTATATGAAATGTTTTGATGAAATGGATAACGGAGAAAAATATTTGAAAAAAAAATGTTTGCTCAACTTCCAAAAACAATTGGAGTTAAAAATAAGGAAACAAAACCCATGAAGATAACGAAATTGTCAATGTGTATGTGTGGTGTGGATGCTATATATGCAGTGTGTATATCGTACGTAAATGTACTCAACAAGGTTCAAGTAGGCAGAACTTCATTATGTCACGCACATAAATACAATTGGATATGTGCACTTTCACTTTTCTGACAACTTCTTGATAATCAGGGCCACAAAATCTCTAACTTGAAAGTTGTGTTGAACATTGAGTCACTTCTGTCGGCACTAAAATTGGGGACAATATTCTTTTGTCAAGCGCTGCCAAAATAAATCAAGTAATCGCTGAACAAGCATCATTCAGTGATCCATGGCCTGGGGATCTTTACAAGAAGATCAAATGCTAACAATCATCGCAATGTCTCTACTTGTACAAACAGCGTTGCCAATGCAAATGCCTCAGACGTGGTGTCCAGTTTCACCTTTTGCTAGTTGTAGTAAAAGGTCCATCGGGCTTTTCTGAATACGTTATCGCTGTGGTAGACTCTGCTAGTCAAATCTCAATTATATATACATCATGAATCGAAACGAAGACTTGGTCTAATAAAAACAATTGTACCCGTGTTACAATTGACACTTTATGTAACAAAGGCGTTTCACAAGATACAGAAGTAGTAAAATTGTCGGTGAAATCTGGTTACGACGATTATTGGCGTGGAATAACGTGTTTGTGATCGAGTCACGCATACCACATTCAGCTAAAATGCTTAAAAGAGATATGCATTACTTACACGATATTCCGTTGGCCGATATTACAGCAAATCAAGCTATGATTTTAATCGCGTCCGATAATCCCATAGCGCACTTCCAGCATATTTTCACGAACAGTGAAATTAAATTATTTGACCGTCCTGATGAATTTGGTTTTATAGAGCTGAGTGGAAATTGCAAAAAGTCATTTAACGAACACGCAGCTTGTATAAGATTCAAATCTTACAAAACATCTTAAAATAACGATCCAATAATCGCGTCAGAGTCCTTTTTTATTTTCTGGAAAGACCGACAGCTATAGACGTAAAAAAGGGTGCTTTAAATATTTGATTTTTGGAAAATGATATTAATTCTGCAATTTTTAACTGTTCAGATAATTGTTTTTCTTTGAAACAGCCATGTGCGTTTAAATTATTGCTTCGTTCTTTCGGAGCTCTTGATTCATCTTATGTGGCGAATTTTTGTTGTATAACGGGAGTTACGTACGATAGCGGAAATAAATTTCCTAGTAGCGCATTATCAATTATCGATATCGACTTTTAAGTTGATTTATTAACTTCTAAATGGAGTGTCGCTTCATTGGTATCAGCATCCAAGAACGTGATTGAAATGTTACACGATAACAGGTTCAGGCCGACTGAATGGGTTTCGAATTTTAAATCAGCTTCCACGTGAGATACACGTTCATCGTGTCGCCACAAGTATTGATCTAGATATCGAGAGACTTACTGCAAAAAGTGCTTGGGCTAGAACTGTGGAAGCGAAAGGGATTGCTTCATACTTTAACACCAGGAGTTCACAGGTTTTGCACAAATAGAAAATCCCTTACTGTTGTAAGTTGAATATCTGATGCTTGAAATGAAAAATTCAACAATAAGAGACTGAAGTGTTGGTCAAAGTGGAGTAATTCTATAGGTTACAAAATATTTCGATTTCTCGTCAATTCAAAGATGTGGAATGTAAATATTCCCTGTACAAATTTGGCATATTCTGTCAAATGATATCGAAGCATTTCAGGAAGAATTGCCAGAGTCGTTCCACTTAACGCCGATTCCGCCCAAAATCCCATTGATTACTGCACTAGAAGAATGGATATTCCTCAGTTTTTAGAGAATTCTGACAGATGGCTAGTTGGACCAGATTTTTTGCGATTGATTGAGCGAAGCAAACCGAAACTATTTGCAATTAGATTTGGAAAAGACGACAAAATAGTACAGTGACAAACTTTGACTCGATGTTGAGTTGCGGAAAAAGAACCGAAACTGGGAAGAAAAAATTCTGGCGCTAGTTTTTGACCCTACTCGACCCGCGTCAGGATTCTGTCTCATTGATGGATGACTTCCTGTGAATAGTCATTGGGGTGGCTTTGTCGGCAGTCCGCGTGGTTATAAATTTAAGTTTAGTTTGGGTTGGGAAAAATATTCGAACATCGTATCGAATATTAGAGTAACAGTTTGCTGTTCTAATATCTGGTAACACAACACGTGACCTGAACACGGCACGCCTTTTGTGCGTCGCTGAATCAGACGCTTGGACAGCACAGCGCACGAGACACGAGAATCAGCATACACTCCTGGCTAACGGACAAGGCGTCAGAATTCAGTGTTTTATTTGCGTTATAATATTTTTTATTTATTTCCAGTTTTTTTTTTATATTGTTTCAATTCCTCGACGAGCATAATGTTTCTCAATGTCGCATGATTTCCAACTTTTCAGTAGGCCATTTGTAAATTTCGAAACATTGATACAAGTTCTTAATGAAGTATAACATTAAGTCAATCATATCAGAAATTCTCACCGATCCGCAATGACGACATTCCATGGTTTATATTTAATGCAAAAACATGGATGTGACAGAAAATACAACGAATTCTGAGGCCAGTAGCAAAGATATTGTTCACTTTTTCATTTTACAGTGACGATAAGGAAGATCAAAGCCGATACGAAATATAACAATCAAAATAAAGTTAATTTGGAGATGGGGATTGCAAATTTATCCTTATAATTTTCCTAGCGTCTCGTCGACAATGATCGCACAGTAATTCCGCAATAAATTAAAAAAATTAAATATCGATATCCACCAGATCGCAAGACTTGATACGCGCGTGATTAAAAGAACCGACATATGTATGTGGATGGCCGAAACAATCACGTCATAATCACGAAACATACCTCAGCCTATACTTCTATATGCGGTTATAATTTTGCCGTTTCGGCGTCTTTATCCACCTATAACTGCTAAGACATAGGTTTCGTCTGACGTCATAATGATTCCAACAAAATATATGAATTGAGTTCTTTTATCCAGATAACAAGCGATTCAGGCCAAGAACGCTCATTTGCAAATATTCCCTAAAAATGTGGAGCATGAGAAATCGACTCAAAAATCAAATATCTTTAGCGAGAAGAAAACCAGAAATCAGAAGGTTAATGGAAGATGTGAGTTTAGCTGTATGTGTAGATGGTTTTGCAACTTTCGGAAGGGTGATGAAGGAAGCTTTTGATCTTTCTCTAGAAACATTAGTAATGTTTCATTTCCATTTTGAATACTTGAATACATGCTCATTCTTCTGGTTTTCACGTTAGGATATTCTTCAAATGCAATATTTTAGAAATGTTTCCGACTATTCAAAATAAAAATAAAATTTACATTCGTAGCTTATTATTAGTGGTTAGAGATTTCGACAACGCGCCCCCAATAAACAAGTCCTGTCACGAACTAAACGATTTGTTTCTGAACCAGTTACCAGTGTTTGATATGAGAGGGCAAAGTGTTTCAGCATGTTGTCTGTGCTTTAAAGTGCTGTCCCAATGTAATTCAACTAAGAATCTGTGTAGTTTATTCAAAACAAAAACAGTCAACACGGTGGAACTTGGAATAGAATCAGGAACATGGCATCTGCTGAAAACAAGGAACATAAACTCAATATTTCATACGGATAGACAACTCAATTTTGCAGTATTATAATATCACAACTCTCTATATTTCAAGTCAATCAGCACGATAAAGATTAAACACATACAAAACCTAATTTAGTATAATACATACGTTATGTCCTGGTTCTACAAGTAACACAACCAAACGAAATATGCTCTGATGTAAATATAATTCAAGTTTTATGACAAAAATATTAAAGCAGTAGTTACTATGTTAGTTTAACTGTAATACTGCCCTGAAATATATTTGTATTACACTTGAAAACCTCAGTTCTTACAAGAATTTGTAAATTTACAAATTGGTATTTCCAACAGATACATAACGAGTACTACCAACAATACAGCACCTGTAAACACTGATTCACACCGAATACTGAGATAGACTGAGACAAGATATTAAACTAATGCGCTTCCAATTTACCAATTATCCTAATTAATCAACAAACTCACATCATACTATTGTTTAGTGCGTCAGACGCGCCTTCGCAGTTTACGTAAAAACGTCAATATTTACCCTGGCCAACATTCGGATGGAACAGTAACAACTAGGGCTGGGAATTTTAGGGAAAACTCTTTGACCGTCAACCGGGTGAAATTAATCGGTTAACCGGTTAACCGCCGCGTGACGTTTGAGGTAATGATTATAATTTCAGCTTGTTACGTCATAATGGTCATAAAGCAATTCCGCGTGTTCTTATTCCGGTATCGCTCAAAATTATTCACGAATCGAGATAGTTTCATGTTTCCTCTGCTGCAAAAGATAGGCAGCGTGGTTCGGGCATGTGGAAATATTTTAGAAAACTCGATTCCGTTCTTAAACGTCATTTATGTGACAAATTTTGAGTGTTCTATGTGCAAATTCTACTTCGAGATATATATCATAAAGAAAAACGGCATCAACTGCACACTTGTTGTATGACATTGAATATCCGATTTTGCAATGAAATCGTGAACAATATATTTCGAAATCGACCGAAAACTGATTCTGAATTCATCATTGTAAATTTTTATTATCAGCAAACTTGGTGCTTCCATTATTTTTCACATTTATTGATTCCTTACCCACACAGTTAGTAAGATTTTTTTGAATTAAACGCCGCAAAAGATAAATTTGCGATGACGTAATCATATTTGACGAAATTGTACGGTATAAAGATGATTTGTACCTGAGATGTCAGTTAACGGTTAAAATAAATCATAACCGTTAACCATATGAAATCGGTTAACCGGTTAACCATTCCCAGCCCTAGTAACAACCTATGATGATTTAAGAATGCATGTTAGTAGGGATTTCAGGATAGAAGTTACATGAATATGATTAAGTACTGCTTGTACCGAGCTTTATAGGGTAGATCAGGGTGGTCCGAACCGCGGCCCTAGCACACATTCCTTGCGCCCGTAGAACAATTTTAGCGTGTACTAAACCATTGGTAGATAAGTGTATTTATTGGCAGAGTTATTTCCAAACTATTCCAACTGTGATTGGCCTTTTTCCTAATCCCGATGTCGGGATTGATATTTGATAAAATCACGGAATTTCAATGTTGTATCTATAAACGTCAAGACTCTACCAGGATGGAAATGACTTCCCGTGGTCGGTACGAGGAGAATAAATTGTCTTGTGCAGACATGATCAAGCTGATGAGATGAATCGCGCTTTCATCCAAACTTCGTACATGAAGCTCGCCTTAAGTAACTTCTCAATTTTAGAGACGTGACCATGTGACAGCAATGACGAAACGCAGACCTGACTTAGTCTCATCTTAGACATATATTTTGGTTGTCATTTGACGATACCACTAGACCTGATCACGCTAAAAGTAATGAAATTAGTCAAATATATGAATTCATCATACAATAAGTGTAGAATGGGTGAACAAGAAATAGGAAACGTATTTACCTTTCCCCAACAACGTTCAATGACGGGGTCTGGCGTGTTTCCAAGTAATTTCTACCACGAAAAAATATAATTTTAGCGGACATTACAAAATCAAACATGAAGAAAAATGCCAAAAATATCACGATATTTCTCAAGGAGCAAATGGGTAAACTTCCGATGTTTTATCACTTTTGGGTTTTCTCGTACTGCGGCCCGCGAGACATCGCCAAAATTTTTGCGTCACGCCAACCTCGCAACCTTGGACCACCCTAGGGTAGATCTTATATAACGGATGCTGCAATTAGTAGAAACATAAATTAATATTGTATCGGTAAAAGATGTAGAGAAATCGATCTTCAATACGATTCCAGAAAATCTATGGATTCGACACGCATGTAAATTTAGATTCGAATCTTGCTCCATCCAATTCACTAAGACAAGTAATAATTCCACAACGTCTTCATATATATATCACAAAGTTTGTTTGAGATTAAATGTAATTACTTTAAGCCACATATCATGTATTTGGAAGATTGTCAATTATATCTACCCGTTCCTTATTTTTTATAATGTGAAAAATTCTAATTTTACGGGCATTCAGCGAATGCGAGTATCGCCTTTTTTAATCTTATTTCTCATCATTCTATTGCTAGACATCGGTGCCGTAAGCGATGCAATCACGAGAACCATAAAATACTTCTAAGTGAATGATAACAGAAACAAATTATGTGGATAATAAAATATGTGAGTTTTACTTTCTTTGACTTGTCAAATACTGGCACTATGATCTTCAAACCTCCCTTCCATACTAGCTCATCAGAAATTGAGCAAATGTAAAGGTTGTGCATGTGGGATAAGTAGTTTGAAGTAAGGTTTCCCACTACGGTTACGAGTTACGACCTAACTAAAGTCGTATCCTGTCCTTTGAAATCCAAATTATTGTCTTCAATTTATGCACCAACAAGAAACATTAAAAGAAACTTTGTTATCAGCCTGAAACACATCTGATGTTGACATCAGTGTTAACAGTCTTAGTACTTCAGTATTGGTGTTAATAATAAATTGACTATTTTTGACAAGGACTCAAAGAACAGCCGCGAGTATGCTAGGATACAAAATAAGACAATGATAAATATAACATTGCATATATTAGAGCAATCCTCAAAACCTATTTGGGTAATTTATGAATAAACCTAACAATATTCTAAGTATCAAATTCCCACCTGATAATCATTTTGCAACGTATGGCATGAGTCAAACGCGAAATAGGAAATCCCATCATTAATAAAATACAATTGCACAGCAGACTCCCTGATCCGCATTGTGCGACGTGCATCTACCTCGTGGCAACAAAATTTCAAATTTTCTAGCGAGGGGACTGGGAGGGGTGAGTCCTTTATTCGCCACAGTAAAAGGAGGGACGTTGACTAACTATAGTACTATACAGTGCTTAAAATAAAGGGCTTAAGGTTCTATAAAATGGGCAATAAAACATTTCGTACATACCGGCCGCGGAAATTTTATGAAATGTTTTGATGAAATGGATAACGGAGAAAAATATTTGAAAAAAAAAATGTTAATTTGGAGATGGGGATTGTAAATTTATTCTTATAATTTTCCTAGCGTCTCGTCGACAATGATCGCACAGTAGTCCCGCAATATATTAAAAAAATTAAATATCGATATCCACCAGATCGCAAGACTTGATACGCGCGTGATTAAAAGAACCGACATATGTATGTGGATGGCCGAAACAAACACGTCATAATCACGAAACATTCCTCAGCCTATACTTCTATATGCGGTTATAATTTTGCCGTTTCGGCGTCTTTATCCACCTATAACTGCTAAGACATAGGTTTTGTATGACGTCATAATGATTCCAACAAAATATATGAATTGAGTTCTTTTATCCAGATAACAAGCGATTCAGGCCAAGAACGCTCATTTGCAAATATTCCCTAAAAATGTGGAGCATGAGAAATCGACTCAAAAATCAAATATCTTTAGCGAGAAGAAAACCAGAAATCAGAAGGTTAATGGAAGATGTGAGTTTAGCTGTATGTGTAGATGGTTTTGTAACTTTCGGAAGGGTGATGAAGGAAGCTTTTGATCTTTCTCTAGAAACATTAGTAATGTTTCATTTCATTTTGAATACTTGAATACATGCTCATTCTTCTGGTTTTCACGTTAGGATATTCTTCAAATGCAATATTTTAGAAATGTTTCCGACTATTCAAAATAAAAATAAAATTTACATTCGTAGCTTATTATTAGTGGTTAGAGATTTC